GACAGTAAAAAAAAAAGTGCTTGTAGGCAAGTCTACGCAAGTCTACACTTTAGGGATTGTCCTTCTGTGGGTTTTCGGGATTTGATAGAAAACTCCATGCAAATTTGATTTTGAATTCCTCACCCTTTTACTAAATAGTAGAGAGTTTCACTTTTAGACGGATTTGCCCTAGCCAAGCCTGGTCCTTCCACCTTTTCTTGGTCATTTTTAATGATAAGATGCAGAAAACGTAGTGAAGTCTCAACCTGAGATATAAAATTGTGGTTGGAATTCCTCCCTTCCCTTCCCTTCTACTGAATTGTGCAGCCTAAAGCTTTTCTAAGCATGTACTGAATGTGTTTGCAAGTCATACAATTAGCCTAGTGGATGCCTACTCTTCTATGTTTCCAAGTATGTAAATACTATTATTTGGCATTAGGAAAGGGTCTAACACTGGCCATCAATTTCCCTCAGTCAGTCTGACAACTGGCTTTTCCTGACTGGAAAAAAACTATTTTCTTCTGTCATCTTTGACTTTCTCAAAATTTCACCTTCTTTGGGCCCTCATCTGTTTCCAGAGGCTTCAGACTGCTCAAACCAACTTGTTGAGAACAAAGCAAAGCTTCATCAGTCCATGTTAATACTGTTCAGTCCTCTTTGGATTACCAGCTATCTTCATAATAAACCATCAATCTTCAACAGCTATCATTTTTCAAATTAATTTTAATTGCCAAGCATTATATCCACCTCCACTCGAGCTCTCTTACTTCATCCTCCTAATGTTGTATCTGATGTTTTAAGATAAGTGCAAAGGATTGATCAAACTTTCTAAATTCTGGGGGTGGTTGATTGCAAGGCTGTTCTTGGTGGATAGTTTAAGATTTCACCTGAGACTAGCCCAAACACCCTTCTTTCTGTGATGAGAACATTTTCCTGTGAGAAACTAAACAGCAATCTCAGCTTCCCTTATCAACTAACTAGCACAAAGTGTCTGGGCTTCTGCATGTATATACAAAGAGCAGCAGGGAGCCATGGTTGAATGCAGTCTGTCACAATAAAAGCATTGAATCGTAGGAAACTCCAGTCACTGATCAAACTCCTCCATTGGTCACATAGACTCCATGCATATTCCCAATGGTAAGGTCTTAGTTATTTGTTCATTATATTGAAAAGCTTAGAAAACACAATTTATTTTTTTAAAAAAACCTTAATGGCTGCTCCTGCTGATCTAAGAACCACTGGCCTTATTTGCAGGGGCAGTCCAATGTTTTGTTTTAAACAGCTACATAGTTTAAGACAAACTGGTTGACAATGGTATGCTGGCATAGGGGGGGAAAATCCATGTAATAATAGGATTGGAAAGGACCTTGGAGATCTTCTAATAGTCCAACCACCCACTCAAGCAGGAGAACTTATATCATTCCAGATGAATGGGTGTTCAACCTCTTGTTAAAAACCTCTATGTTAAGAGCACCCACAACTTCTATTGGCAAGCCATTCCACTGATTAATTGTTCTATCAGGAAATTTCTTTTTAGTTCTAGGTTGGCTCTCTCTTGATGATCTTCCACTCATTATTTCTTGTCCTGTCCTCAGGTACGTTGGAGAATCAGTTGACTCCATCTTCTTGGTGGCAGCCCCTCAAATACCAGAAGACCGCTGTCATATAACCCCTTGTCCTTCTGATCATTAGACTAGACATACCTAGTTCCTAGATATAATAGTAAAGGCAGTTTTGCTTGACACCAGCTTAAATAGAAGGCGGTAGTAGTGGCTACTATTGCTAGCGGAATGACAGAAGCTTCTGGGAAGGCACCTGTATCACCATCAAGAGATAAGCTTAGCAGCATTTCATAGATGTATTTAATAATGGTTAGATAAAATCCAATATCCTCATGGTATGCTCCTATTTAGAAGGCAGAGTATAGTGCCCATTTGTATTGATAGCTGGGGATCTAAGCTGGATGCTTCACTTGACAGCACGACTTGCTAGGAAATTCTGGGTGGTGAAGTCCACATATTTTCAAGACCTCAAGTTGAAAAACACTCAACTATAGTTTTGCTTCTTGGCCAGAAATTCCAAATAATTACTCAAAAAGAAATATAAAAGATGTAATTTTCATTCCTTGTTTCTTTTTCTGTCATTTCTGTTGTTTTGTATACTTTTACTGTATAGAAACTTTTATGTCAACATGAAAAGAGTGCATTTGATGACACATGAGTCACATGGATTTATTAAGCACAAGTTAAGTGCTGGAGCTATTTTAATTTCAGTAAAAAAATTTCAACTGTTTGTCATGAGATGAATAAAGAATCATGAAATAAGGAAGACAAACTGAAGATGGGGCCATTAGATGGCTATAAAACTGGATGAATAATTGTATCCTGTGAATATATCAGTGATTCCATATCAAGCTGAAAGGAAGTAGTTTTAGCATAAAGGAGACCCTATGCTTTCAACAAACTGCAGCTAACTCCAGTTTATATTTCTGGAGAGCTATAAAACATGAGTTTCTAGAAAGGCATTTGAAGACAAGACAAATTGCCAAATTGATTCACTGGATTGATTATGATTGTACTTTTGTTTTTAATCTTCATGTATTGAGTCATTGAGCATTCTTCAAAAATGAGTGGCATATAAATTGTAGAGGTTTAAAACATGTTCTTTTTCTATGACAACCTATTGCCACTATGTATAAATGGCTATTTCTCTTGCTTTAAGTTTGAGCAAAAATAAATTTAGGAGAATTAGATGAGATTCTGCGTGGGAGTCATAAGGAGGGTTAATAGAAGCAATATTAGCAAGTAGTGCTGTGTTAAGATGGGGGAAAACCTAAATTTAAGCGCTGGAAATTAACTGGGTGACTTTGCACACAATCACTCACAATGCAATTTACTTCAAAGGATTGTTATTGTAAAGATAACACAAAAGGACATCCCCGTGCTAAGTAACTTGCCCTCTTGGAGTAAGATGGGGTATAAATAATTCAATTAAATACATAGCCAACCTATGGCTGACACAAATGCTACAAATCATTCAAATTAATATTCCCAGAACATTTTCTTGGCTTTTACCCATGGTAGCAATGGAATCAGTGCAATCATGCACTATTAAGGTGGATTGCTCCTGTCAAGAGAAACATAGTTGCAAAATTAAATACTGATGAATGGCTTATAATGTCAAGTGAACCGTCAGGCCGTCTCCTATATAGGGAGTTTTGAAACCAAAACATTCCACTTTTAGCTTGCACTCACTGTGGGTTTAGAGCTGCTATGTCCAACCTTTTGGCTTGCCTGAGCTGCATTGAATGAAGAATTGCCTTGGGCCACATATAAATATATATGTAACATAGTTAATGTATATAAATAACAAATTTCCTTTAATATTTTTACCATCTTGTGAGGTTGCATTACTTTCTATCCAGGGCTGTACTCAACCCATCGGTTGGACAATCTGGTTTAAAGGAACGGCCCAGACACCCACTGATTGTCCTGGCCAGTAAGTGAACCACAATCGGGCAAATCCCTAGATTATCCAGAAACTGGCAATGTATGAAATAGATTTTTTAGTACGTGTACTAGATGGTCATGCTGTCTGGGGTGATCTGAACCATTTAGTTTAAGATAAAGCCTCCAAAATTCAATGGCCCTAAAATACAGAAAAGTGCTCAGTAATTTAATCAAAGTTTTCTCCCCCCCCTCCCCCCCCCAACAAAGGAATAGAGGAAAATTGAGTCAAAAATTATCTTTGTTCCATCCTGAACAAGTTTTAACACTGACTGGGAACTGAATCTGAAACGAGGAATCCTGATGTAATGCCACATGGATAGATCATTAATATAAGGTTGTATATAGAACTAAAAATTTTGGTACCACTACAGTACTAAATTCCACCCATCTCAAAAGGTGCTATATAATATGAGCTGGAATGACTTTTGCAGATTCTCTGCACATTATCTACACAAGAACCTTTTGTCTCTTGACACCCATATACTGTAAAAACAGCAATAAGCAGAGGAGCCTGGAGTGTTTATACAATGGAGCTGTGCTATACATTTCTAATACTTTTGAAAAACAATGCTAGGTCGCATAGCTCCATGAAGGAGTGTATGAGTCTGTTTTAGTAGAGCTGAGAGAACAGAAAAATGATGGAAATGGTTCTGGAGAAGTGATTTCAATATGCTATTGTTATGCTAAAGAAAATAAATGTCAGGAAATGAGCCGCATCTACTTAAAGACTAAGGAATGGGCAAAGCTCTTCAAAATATTATGGAACATTCCAAGCAAAGCTCTGTATAGGAATAAGAATCCCCAAATGTGACTCAGACAAATCACAATTAAGAACTCAAATAAAAATATCAATATTCTTTATCATAACAACAATGCTAAGAATTTTTTAAAAAATTCAAATTATTATTTTTTACAACAGCTAATTTTATTCCAGAATTTTATCAATCAAACTCAGTAAACTCTGTTATCCTCTCAACATCTCTTCTGGTGTTTGGCCTAGAAATAATATTTCAAAACCATTTTCTAGTTAGAGGCTATTTTAATTACACAGATTCTCTTCTCAATTATTCAGATAGGCTTCATGGTTTGATAACTACAAAAATACAGTTTTTAGTAAATACAGAATATCATAGAAACAAATCTAACATTGTTTTACTAAAAACATTCCAGTCATTTACAGATGAATTAAAAATCAATTTTACAAGCTTGCTTAAAATGAAATGAATCAATTGTCAAGTGTTGATTAGAAAATACTTATAAAATTCAATCTTGCATTATTCCTAAAAAACAACAACTATACATAATTGTTATCAAGGCTACTTTTGAAATACGTAGGGAATAGTGCTATAGAATGTACTATTTTTAAAAACATTAGATCTGAGCACTGAAATTCAGATGAAAACTATTGAGGTGACTGAGTATCAAAATTTTAGAGTTATATTTGATTATTTATAGTTTTCCTGAAATCATTTACCGTCTATTTACATTATAATGCACTGCATCTTTAAAATAGTCTTGTTTAGGCAAGAGGCCAAATGACCCTAATTGTAATGATATAATGATATAATTTGTTTTAAAGTGAAATGTGGTAGGGCAGTCTATAGCTCAGAAAACAAGCAACTAGGAAAAAGGAATGAGAAAAGAATGAAAAAATAATGCTATGTTTTAGTCAAATTTCTAATGTAATGGCCCTTTCACAAAATAAAGGGTTGGCGTAATTTGTTTTATGTTTATTTAATATAGGTAAGCAAATTGCCACAAGCCTTCTTCAGGCTTTTTTGCTTGAACAAGCAAGGTGTTCAAGTGCAGGATTTCATACAGTCAGAAATCCTAAGGACAAGGAGTTGAGGTACTCATGAGAGCTGCCTTGATTTACTGTTCTACATCCAAGGATCCTATCAGTGCTGATGTTCACACATCTGCTGATGTCTGTGGGACACAGGCTCTCAGAGAAACCACATTCTCAGTTGCATGTCCAAACAAAACATTTAAAAGGCTTGTGTTACATTGGAATCTGAGCCTTAAAATAAACGGGTCAGTCAGATTTTAATTAAATTGTGATGTACAAAAGTTCTTTTCATGTCCTAAGGCACTGAATGAACATAGTGAATCAAGAAACATAAGAAAACCTTATAATAAACTGAAATATAGCAAAAAGCAGAGATCTCCAAACTTGGCAATTAAAGTTGCCAAGTTTGGGACCCCTTGCATAAAGCAATATGTGCAGCCACAAAGAACAAATTGTTTAATCCACACTGCTTAATACTTTGACAACTTTTCCTTTCTATTATTATAAAGCTTTTAATCAACAGCATTGATTTAAGGAAAAACTAAACCTGTAATTCTGTTAACCTTCTGAAGCTTAACAGCCAGTGCAGATGAACATAGCAATGTTATTTCTGTAAAAATCTCTGAGAAAGAAAAAGGGTTTAGGAACCACTTTTTTTCCTTAAACTCAGTCTGCATATATTTTTAAAAGCTCAGGAATACCTACCAGAAATAATTCTGACTCATGCCTGTTTGCTACATGTAAACCTTGGCACTATAAGCATACCAGAATTGCTCATTTCTCATACCTATACAGAAAAGTGACTCTCAACAGTTAATTCAATCCACATGATAAGAGAAGGAAGCTTCAAATATTAATAAATGAAGACAGTTTTAACATTTTATGTTGGGGTAACATTACCTTCCTTAATGAATTTACCTAAAATACACAAGTTTTAAGGTTTCCTATAACAATTTGTTCAAAGTACTTAAATGCTTCACACTTAGTGAAAAATGCATCATTTACAATCATTTGGAAATATTTAATATCTTTTCCTAGATGAAAAATGTCATTATTGTACATACTTACAAAAAACTGTATACAAAAATATAAATCATTTTACAATATGAAATCTCACTTACACTTGCTTTACACCAGGCGCCAAAAGTAAACAACATTGTATTATAGAAAATACTTTGTTGCTGAAATGCTTTAATCTGAGCTCCTGAACACATAATATATTTATACAAACCACTTACATTCCTGATTTTTTAAAATACTTTAAAAAAAGTTATTCTGTGGCAATGTTGTACAAAGGAGATAACCATGACAACGTTCCTGCCAATTAAGAGCAACTCCACTGGAGCTTAAGCAAAGCAGTTAAAATTCTCACTGCATTAATTGTTATGAAGAAAATAACTTAGCTCTGCATTTTTTCTTCCCAGAATGAATGTCTCAAACATGTAATTGTTCAAGAGCCTCAACATATTTTACAAAAGTTCCATTAAAATAACAGATAAATGAAGCATTTGCATTATTCATCTATCTGGTTAGTCTCTTATTCTTTTTGACTTCTTAATCTCTAGTATAAAACTTTGTTTTCATAAATTACGTACATACTTTTTACAATATATGACAATGAATTGCAAGCAGCCAAATAAATGCACATGTCTATCCTACATCTAGATTTTAAGTCTCAAAAGTCAGAAAAAAAATATTAAAATCTGAACTTAAAGTCACAATGATTAATTTGATTTTGTCACTGCAGTTGCTTTTGTGTTTGTTGCTTTAGAATCCTGACTGGGATTAATCGCTGACTGTGCCAATTTCTTCTCTTTTGAAGCAACAGATGCTAGTGCAGGCATCACTTTAGTACTTTGTCCTTCAGAATCTAATGAGTGATTAGCAGTTTTTAACCCCAGTGGTGCCAATTTGGGCATAGGCCTCCATGACATGTCAGATATGCCAGCTTCTAAATTAGTTTTCATATGAAGAATGGGAGGTGAAACACTTCTTGTCTTTGCTGAGGATTCCGTGTTTTTTCCATTTCCGTTTATTTTTAACAGGTTGGAATTTCTGTCCTTTACTTCGGAGCCTAGCATGATTTTTAAAGCATCAGGTTCTGATGAAACCTCTCCGGCATTTCTATTGCCAACAGGAAAATCATCATCATCCAAGTGAAGTAGGAGAGGAGTTATGGAATCACCATTGTCTTGAATCATAGAAAGATCCTTAAAATTCCCATCCACTGTACCAAATTGGAAGGCAGAGCTACTTGCCGAGTTTGATTCTTGGCGACTTTCTGTATCTGCTAGAGAAAAGCTAGAACTGATTTCTGGTATGTCTGAAGTATCATCACTCAGCTTCTGATTGAGGAATGCAATTTCATTCAGAAGTGAGGTCAGAGTTTCATCTGTATCATCATTCTCCTCTATATCTACTGAACTGCTTGTATCCATTGTTGGTTCATGAATTACAGAAGCAACTTGCTGCCGTTCCATTTCGGATCCAGGGTCCTTGGCTTTGTTAACCTGTAGCTTTTGCAACGAGGGTTTCTTTGACTTTTGACAATCTCCTCCACCTCCATCTACCTCTTTGACCCATGTCTGGCTTCCAGTTAATTCTTCAAAGCAGAGCTTTGTTCCAAATATTTCTGGGGAACCTTTTAAACTGGAGACATTTACTATTTGTGGAAAACTATATTTGTCCTGAAGCAGATCTTGTGTTGTTCTCTCTTTTGTAATGTTTCTCTCTTTTTCAGAACCGTCTTCGTTTTCTTTGCATTTATGATTGGATGTTTCCTGAGATAAAACTTGCATGGAAAGTTCAGATGCCCCAGAATCAGTATTTAGCATTGTATAAGGTCCTTTATTTGCATCCGGATTTAAATTTATTTCTTCTTCAGTAGCTAGTGATGTCACATTCACGATTCTTGGCATCAAGAATGAATCTTCATTTTCTACTAAGACCAAAGAAAACAGAATCAATCAGATTACTGATTAAAGGATTCCAATATTATTCCAATCATTCTAGTCTCTCTCCAAACTAAAATCACTAACCTCTTCAACAGATTTCCCCTTCTCCGCACTCTCTTCCCCAAACATGTGTAATCTCTCTCTCTCTCTCTCTCTCTCTCTCTCTCTCTCTCTCTCTCTGTGTGTGTGTATGTGTATATTCCTGCTTGGAAAAGTAAGCGGTTTTACCTGCAAAATTTGGGATTACTTATCTTATGCATGCTAACAGATGAGAATGAAAAGCTATCTTCCTTCTTTGAAGGAATGTTGACCTGGCCTTGGGAATGGAGAAAGAATGAGTCAGCCATTAAGATAGGATTTTCAGAAAAGATAGTTCAGTCCCAAGAAAGCGAAAAGACAAAGAAAGATACTCAAACAATCCCATCTTGATTTCATTTCGTATAAGAAGCAGCAGGAAGAAACTCTGATAAAATTGCAAGGCTCTGTTCTCTTATAACCATGAAGGCGAACATATGGCACATGTGCCACAGGTGGCACGCACAGCCATTTGTGCGGGCATGGGAACCCCAGGGAAACTTATCTCACTGTGCATGCGTGTGCCTCCCAGCTGATTTTTGGCCTCCAAATGGTTTGAGGGAAGCCTTTGTAGGCCGAAAAATAGGCTCATTTCATCACTTCCTGTATTTCCGGGATTACCAGAAGTAATGAAATGGGCCCATTTTTCAGCCTGCAAAGGCTTCCTTCAAGCATTTAGGAGGCCGAAAAAGGCCTCAAAGGGGCTGAAAATCAGCTGGGAGGCGCAGTGCAGGGAAGAGGGTGGCGGGGGGATTGTGTGTGCATGTGCAGGGGAGCTGAGGGGGAGGCCTTCTGGGTGCTAGCGCGTGAGCGCAAGCACAATTTTTGGCACAAGAGCCCAAATAGGTTAGCCACCACTGTCCTATATGATAATAAAGAGCATTCCTTGGATCACTGCTTTAAAACTTGGCATTTTAACAGGGGTATAGACATACTCACTGTGTGTGTGTGTGTGTGTGTGTGTGTGTGTGTGTGTGTTTGTGAAAGAGGGGGAGAGAAAGAAGATTGTGTGTGTATAAAACAAAATGAAAGTGAGTAAATACCAGATGATCACAAAGATACAAATCTTGGGTAATATTGGTCATAACAGCAGCATTTCCCATGAGATTAGTGACTGATAGCTTCCCTGCCATGATGGCACTTGCAGTTCTTAGGGCTAGCAGGTCCAACTAATGGGTGTTCACAATGATAGAAACATTCTACAAGCCCTCTATAATTATCTCAGTCTACCAATTCAAAGCACCCATTGGAGTGCATATATTAAAAGGCTGATGCAGAGAAGCAGTAGTGGTTTTCTTCTGCCTTGCTTATTCAAACGCTGTGAGTTCACATTTGTGAAGTTGTTGGTTATCATGTGGACTACCTGGCCTAAGAGGAACAATCTGAAGAACAGAAGTATATTCCAGAGTTCCAGAGAATAAAGTCCATGAAATAATTAAAAAAAAAATAAAGTGTATCAAAAGTGCACAGAAAATGACAGATAGGCCTGTTTGAAAATGCCTGTTTAAAAGGGAAAAAGTAATGTTTTAGCTGTCATTCTTTTCCACAGGAGCCAAATATTAATATTGAGCATGAAACTGATTAGCTCTGAAGTTAATCAGATTTAGCCATGTGGATTGAAACACTAACCCTAAAAGACAAGATACTTATCCTATATTTGAGTAAGCACTTAAATTTGACTTATTAATATAGAATGAAGCAAAATATCTTAACACTGGACACATTGAAGGACATTTTTGAACAATGGACCCAGAAGTCAATTTTAAGAGTGTCTGCCTCTATAGCTAGGTTGCATTTAAACCACTTTACGAAAGAAGAACAAGTCTTACCTGAACAGATTGAGACTGATCTGAAAGTGGATTTAAAAACAACAGGCTACAAGAATGATACAGGAAAAGATGCTACACTGGACATACAATCACACTCTCCCCACAAAAAAACAAAACAAAACAAGAACTGGTTAATGCTATTAAGGGATGTAAACAAAATAAACCAAAATAGTGAGTTGGGTGATTTTCCTATGCTGGATTTACAAGAGGCTTTGTTAAAACTTTGACAAGAGCCCTGTTGGCACAGTGGCTAGAATGCAGTACTGCAGGCTACTTCTGTTCAAATCTCACCAGGCTCAAGGTTGACTCAGCCTTCCATCCTTCGGAAGTAGGTAAAATGAGGACCCAGATTGTTGGGGGCAATATGCTGACTCTGTAAACTGCTTAAGGCACTGTGAAGCAGCATATAAGTCCAAGTGCTATTGCTATTGAAGAATTATGTGAGAAGTACAAAGAAAAGACAAAAATAAATCAAATTCTAGGACAGTATTGATGGGACTAAAGATTAAGATTGTTAAAAGAAAAAGACAGAAACATAAAATAGGTTTATTTGATTAAAGGTTAAATAGATTTGTGGTTATCTTTGGTAAACCTTAATGGAATTTTGCTGATCATGATTGAAATGACAAAGCTGTAAGGACTTATTTGTAGGTAAGAGTTAGAATATTGTATTTTAAGATGTGATAAAATCTAAAATTGTTTATACTTATGATAAAAGCGGAAATTATCTCTTCATATATTTCTCTTTTTTTGTTCTACTGTTGTTATTTTTTTGTCTTTTCTTTTTTTTCTTTCTATTTTTTATCTCTGCATGAGGACTACCTATAGATGAGACAAGTGATAAAAAATTTCTACTTTGTGGACATGGACAATTTAGTAGGCTTCATGCCAGAAGCAAGGCTAGGTTCAACTTAATTCTTTCAGTTGTTTTCCATCTTACCTGACTGCTCTTTTTCATCATTGCCCACCATTTCTGATTTGACTTTGGCTTGTAGAAGTGTGGAAGGCAGGTCCGTAACCTGTCTTGGCACCAATGAGTTTCTGAATGCCAGAACCTGGCCATTTGTAGTCATTAAAAGGTTGGCATTGGTTAATGTTATAGAAGGAGGTAGGTCTTCTGTAAGAAAGCCATAATAAAAAATGTTGGGTAAGTACATAAATAACAAGGAATATTATTTATCTTGGCATTCCCTTTACGTTTATTCCCATAAATTACTACTGTTTTTCTATAACAACACATTTCAGAGCACACTGAAAATTTTAAACATCAAAAAAATCTAAAGAAAACTTTAAAGTAACTTTGCAGTACCACTATAGTATTGCATACAGTGGATGCTGTGATAATTTATTACCTTACTATACTGATAAATTACAGGCAGTCCTTGGTTTATGACAGTAATTGGGACTGGAATTACTATCGCTAAGTGACAGTCATAAAGTGTGATGTCCCTTGAAGAATGCTATTAAGTGGTGACAACTTCACATGACTAAGATTTCCAGTTTCCTGCTGGCTTCCCATTGACATTGCCTGTTCAGCAATGAATGTCAAGAATCCCGCTCATATGACCATGGGGATGCTTGTTCAGCCACTGAACAAGCAGTCATTAACAAGGACCATCTGTATCTTATTTCTTTTTTAATACCAAGGTTGTAATTGTGTAACACATCTTAGACATGAGATGCACTATGATCAAGAATATCTTATGGTTAGAAACTTAATTTTGTGTAGAACAATTATTCCTGTGTTTCTTTAGCCTACCTGTGACATGGTTTCCTTTCCTGGAAAGTATCAATGGTTTTGTACGTTGCTTGGATAAGACCACTGGCTTCACCTCTCCAAGGACAGAAGTAGGATCTTTTTCCACAGAGGGACTAGCAGTCTCTGTAGATTCAATCATCTTCGTAGGATCTGTTTGTTCTTTCTGCTTCCCTTTTTGAGCTGCTGCTACTGCTTTCTGTTTGGCATAAATGTATTCTAACTTCTTCAAGACCACTTCTTGTGTCTCTCCTAGAGATGAAAGTAGTAGTCCAGTTTCTCTTTCACAACTAACATACTTACAAAAGTCTAAACTTCCAAGGGAAATTATATGCTAGCCCAAATGCAATTGTTTTTAGTCTTTCTTTTTCCATCATAATAAACATGCACATGCTCTATATTCTTGGGGCCTCCATGAAGTAAATTATGATTACTTATTAGATTTTATTTTTTAATCCTGTCTCCTACTTTTCCCACAACCACCTGTGAGGTGACCTGGACTGAGAGAGTCTGGTCCAACTGGCCCAAGTTGGCTTTCGTACTTAAGGCAGACTCAGAACTCAGTCTCCTGGATTCTAGCATCTTAACCAATATACCAAATTGACCCTAAGTTAAATAATATTACTGGATTATACAGGTACTTCTGTATAAAGGGGCAAAATTCAATTAACAACTGCCTTGTTCGGTAACAGAAATTTTAGGCTCAATTGTGGCTTTAAGTCAAGGACTGCCTGTATGGAAAAAGGATTTAATTATATTTTATGGTCCTAGCATGAGTTCATAATTTCTTGAAGGTTTTCCTACCTTTCCATCTGTGGCAGCTTCCAGCTTATACAGTATTTTAGGACCATTTATATATTTGACAACTTGTGATGACCCAGTTGTGAAAAGGAAGAACTTCCGTTCAAACTCAAAATACATATAAATTATAAATTAAAAAAAACAACACAAACCACACTGAAGCAATGAGGCAAGGCATATCAAAATACACACACTGGGAAGGACACCAGAACTCAGATAAGAACTGACAAACTAGAAATATTTTCACGCTTTGCTTCCAGCACTGGCCCATGCGCAGTTTGTCCTTTTAAACAGTCCTCATAGCTGTAGCTCATGAAGGGCCTTTCCTCCCCCGTAGACCACGCCATTCATGTTTCTCACTCATCCGCTCCTCCCTGTGTGCCTTAGGATGAAGAGAGGATGGCCCTGGGTCTTCCTCTGAATGCCTAGCCAACCTGTGCCCTTCCCAGTTTCCTCCACAACCTCCAGAGCCACACTCCCACTCCCTGTCGGCTGTTCCTCCTCTCCTTTGGAGTCAGATTCTAACAGGGGCATGACACAACTATACTTCAGTTGTAGCACGTAACTTTCTTTGCCCACCACTTCAAACTATTCCAGTGATCCACAATCCTAGGAGACAATTTAGATTTTATTTTGCTCATTCTCTCTGACATCTCACCTGAAAGTGCAGATTCTTTACGAACCAAGGTATCCTGCATGTGCAACAATAAGTTTTTTTGTCCTGTGAGTTTGTCTGCTTGATCTGTCAGACCCTGGATTTCTTCCAATGCCTGAAAAACAAATTATTTTTAGATTCCAGTAAAATATATCTGAACAGAAATGGCTTCTCATCTTTAGCTCAGTAAATTATTTGAAAAAAATATTGAAAGAAATTAAAATTAAGTAAAATATGATGCAAGCAGGGGTGGGATTCTCCTGATTTGGGCAAAACTAAAATAATAATTCCTGTTTCTACTCCATTCCACACTCTATAATTTCTTCTATCCACATTTTTATTTTCAACCAATATTTCTTTATCTCAGGACAAGTCCACCATGAATGAAAATATGTACCAAATTTCCCTTCACATTTCCAACAGCAAGGATTGGCTTTTGGAAATATTTTGGCCAGTCTAGAGGGTGCCAGATGTCATCTGTACATCATTTGGTATAGATTCTCCTTGTGTGCTACTGATTTGATTAGCGTCAGGTTTTTCTGCCAGATTTCTTCCCAGGCATCCAGATCAATACTATAACCAAAAATGTTTTCCCAAGCTAACATAGGACCTTTCACAATTTTCTCAGCCATTTCATATTCTAGTAAATAATTATATAATTTGGAAATCAAACTTTTCTCAGGGTTTAAAAGTATTTTATCTAAATATGTGTCTTTTACTTCAATTCCATATTCCTTTACATCTTTGTTATATCTCAGTTTTACTGGAAAATATGACCAATTATCCATAACTATCTCTTGTGATTCTAGTTCCTGTTTCATTTTAATTCTTCCCTCACTATCTAATATTTGGTAATATTTAAGTTTTTTACTGATGTCCATCATATTTAAGTGAAGCATCGCCTCCATCATTGAAAACCACCTCGGGATTTTATTATAATGATTCCTTCTTATAATCAGTCCAAATTTTAATTATAGACTTTCGGAATACATGTCTAGTAAAATATAGATTATTTTTACTATTCAGGTTCCATAAAAATGCATGCCAGCCTAGCTGTAAATCATGTCCCTCCAATTGTAGAATCCTATTATTGCTTAAATCAATCCAATCGTTTATGCACACGAATGCCGCTGCTCTATATCTCCCAGACAGGTAGTCTGAATCCACCCCTGCTTTTATTATCTTGTAAATAAGTTTTTTTCTCCTTGCTTTTTTCTTTGCCCAGATAAATTTCATCACAATTTTATTTAAATCTTTAAAAAAAAAATTTGTCCAGTAATATCAGAAGTGTTTGAAACAGATATAGTATTTTAGGTGGAACATTCATTTTGATTGTTGCTATTCTACCTAATGATGAAATTTGCACCTTATTCCAATTTTCCAAGTCCTTTTCAATCTGTTTCAGTAATTTAGTATAATTATCCTCTTGCAGATTTAATGTTCTAGCTCTTAACCAATTCCTAAATATTTAATTTTATTTACAATTTGTAATCCCATCTTTTCTTCCATTTTGTTTACTATTTGTTATGTTTTTAACCAGCATTTTGGTTTTTTCCTTATTGATTTTTAATCCTGCTAATTTACCAAATTTATCTATTTCAGTTAGTAGAGCTGGTCCTGAGTTTATTGGATCTTCGATAACAAAAACCATATCATCTGCAAAGGCTTGTAATTTATATTCTTGATTTTTAATTTTAATTTCTTTATTTAATCTAATTCTGTCTAGCAAAGTTTCCAAAATTGTTATGAAAAGCAGAGGTGAAAGCAGACATCCCTGTCTGACCCCCTTCTTATCTTTAATGATTCGGTAATTTCTCCATTTAATAATACATTGGCCTTTTGTGTGGCATAGATTGCATTCAATATTTTTATAAAATTATCTCCAAAATCCATCAGATTAATCTGCTTTTTCATAAAATCCCAGTTTAAGTTATCAAAGGCCTTTTGTGCATCCAGGAAGACCACTTGGCTTCCTGGATGCTTTTCATAATATTCCAATATGTCTATTCTTGTGTTATATCTGATCTGCCTTGTGGGAAGAAATCCATTTTGATCCAGGTGAATTTTGTTACTGAGTATTTTCTTTAATCTTTCCACCATTACCGCCATAAAAATTTTGTAATCTGAATTTAAAGGGGATATTGGTCTGTAATTCGTTGTTTGATTGGCATCTGCACCCTCTTTTGGAATCAATGTTATGTATGCTTCTTTCCAAGATTCTGGTATTTTGGCTTCCAGTAATACCCCACTGCAAACCTCTAATAGCATTATCTCTAGTATATCACCTATCTCTTTATATAGCTCGTTTGGTAGCCCATCTGGGCCTGGCGTTTTGTTTCTTTTTTGTTTTTGGATCGCCACCTTTAGCTCGTCTAAAGTTATTTCTTTATTCAGCATTTATTTTTTATCCTCTGATATTGGATAGAGAGTTCCTTCTTTCAAACATTCTTTATTTAAATCAATTACTTCTTGTTTGTAAAGATCTTCAAAGTACTCTCTTACAATTTCCTTTTTCTTCTCCTGATCTGCCTCTATTATTCCATTTTTATCCTGTAATTGATATATCATTCTTTTCTGATTTTCTTTTCTTAATTTATATGCCAGCCACCTTCTGGATTTATTTGCATGTTCGAAATAATTTTGTTTTGTGTATAATAATTTTTTAATTAGTTCCTCTTGATCTAAAATATTCATCTCATGCTTAACTAATGCTAGTTCATTTATAATATATGCTCATCTCCTGGAGTTTCCATTTGCTTATTTTCCAATTTCTCTATTCTTTTTGTTAGGGCTTTCCGCTTCCCCTCTCTTTCTTTGTTTCTATTTGCTATATAAGCTATCGATATTCCCCTTAAGTATGCCTTCATTGTATCCCATAGGTTCTGCAATGAGGTAACCTGTTTTTTTTTAAATCTGAAAAAAATAATCAATTCTTCCTTAACTTTCTGAATATATTCTTCCCCTTTCATTACTTGGGAATTAAGTGTCCATCTACCTTTTTTTATAATGACTATTTTTCCAAACTATCTGTATCAGGTTATGATCTGCCCACGTGTTAGCCAAAATTTTTATGTCCTGAATCTCTTTGTATAGCTTGCTATTTACCCAGGCCATATCTATCCTGGACCATGATTTGTGTGGGCTGGAGTAGAAAGTGAACTGTGAAATTCCTGGGTTCCTTTTTCTCCACGCATCCACAAATTCTAATTCTTCGACCATCTCTATGAATTTCTTAGGCAATGTATTCCGTTTCTTATATTGTCTTTGTTCACAAGCATAATCTTGTCTACTATCTGTTATTGCATTATAGTCTCCTATAATACAAATTCTTGAGTTTCCAAATTCTATTAGTTTTTCATATAAGCTTTTGTAAAATTCATTCTGTTTTTTATTAGGGGCATATATCCCCACTAATAATATCTTTTTATTTTGCATTACCACCTCTACCATTACTATTCTTCCCAATTCATCTTTATAAATACATTCTGAGGCTATTATCTTCTTTTATATATAATATCACCCCTCTTTTTTCTCTTCCACCAATGTTACATACATTTTCCCCAACTTTTTATTTAATAAGTACCCTTTATCTCTCTTCTTTATATAAACCTCTTGAATACATATTATATCCGCTTTTTGTTTTTCTAACTTAAAAAATATTCTTTTTCTCTTAGCTGGGTCATTTAACCCATTGATATTTATAGATATCAAATTCACTCCTTTATCCATTCCTTTCTTACTTCTATCCCTCAATATTTTTGCTCGTCGTTTGACTTCTCGTCCTCACTCCTATTTCTTCTTTTTCCAACGTCTCCTCATCTCCTTCCCTCTCCTTCTCCCGCTCCCTGCTTCTAGATTGTAGCTCTTCTTGACTCGGAATTTCATGGTCGTCTCTGTTACTCAGTTCTTCCTCTATTCCTCCTATTTGGTCAAAGAATTCTTGAGCTTTGGTTAGGTAAAACTATTCTCACCCTTTTTTCCTTCCATATTGCTAGTATACCCTCTGAGGTAATCCATCTAAAAGATATATTTTTTTGTTTAAGTAATTTGTGAGAAATCGATAATCTTTCCTTTGTTCGCGAATTCTTCTCGGCACCTATACAAGTTTTGTTTTAGCCAAAAATACAATGAGGAAACAACCGATCAGTTAAACTTGGACAAAATCTACAATTTTAGTTTATGTGTCGAGTAACAAGAGTTGGAAGGGACCTTGGAAGCCTTCTAGTCCAACCCCTGCTCAGGAAAGAAACCCTACACCATTTGAGTCAAATGGTTGTCCAAACTCTTTTTAAAAACTTCCAGTGTTGGAGCATTCATAACTTCTGGAGGCAAATCATTCCACTGATTAATTCTTCTAACTATCAGGAAAATTCTCCTTAGTTCTAGGTTGGTTCTCTCCTTGATCAGTTTCTATCTATTGCTTCTTGTCCTGCCTTCAGGTGCTTTGGAGAATAGCTTGACCCCATCTTCTTTGTGGCAACCCCTTAAATATTGGAACTGTGCTATCATGTCGCCCCTAGTAATTCTTTTCATTAAATTAGACATTAGGCATGTCAAGATATTTTCAAGGAAGTTTCAGAAAAAAATCCAGATAACTGAAAAGTATTATTTTTAAAACGTAACACTGGAATTAGAAACAAGTGTGGCAATGCTCAATAAGCTTACTAAGCTTCTAATACCTACTCAATCTAGACTTATCTCAAAATATTATGTTAGTACTTGGATGGCACTCCAACAAGCAATACCAGTACTGCAAACTAGATTGGGAAATTTAAAAAACACATTAGAAGAAGACAATGCACTGTTTCCATAAAAGCTAGAGATACGTCCATAAAATCACCAGAAATAAGTCTATCTTGAAAATGGCTTGAAATAAACTATTATTTCACTTGAGTTGGACAGCCAATAAATTTAAGTAAATAAATAAGAAAGAAAGCTTGCATAGTATTAAATAAATCTATTACTAATGTTAAGCAAGATTTTTCATCTCTTTTATATTTAAAATCAATTCTGTCCAGTATTTTTCTTTGATATGGAAATATAAACATAAAATACTAACTTGTTTTAAGATGAAGCATTTGGAAACCTTTGGAAAAGCTTGGAGTCCTAATGTTGCTTTCAATTTTTCAAAGAGTCCCCTCATTTCTTTTCGACGTCGACGTTCATTTGCCGTATGTGTTTGCCGATAGTTAGCAAAGGCCTGTTCCTCATTCTTTACCTTTTTGTTGGGAAACTCAGATTGCTATGGAAAGATAAATCTGCTCTCATGAACAGTTTAAAATACAACACAGTAAAACTGATTCTTATAATTAAACAACATGTGGCATAAATGCACCCTGCAACCATCAGGCTTAAATAATTTTTTCAGAATCATAAAAACTGGGGTTATCTTAAAGCAGCAACTGACTGGAAATAAAACTTATTCTTGAAGACACTCATGTGGGCAAGAGGGTAGTCTTAAGGCAATGCTTACTGTTTCCCTATAGTCCTTGTCAGCTGGATGGAAAACCTCCATGAGCTGGGCTAAGCTGAGCTGGGCCTGTTACCTGAGATTGCCAATGTCTGTTTTGTAACCATCAGCACTGTGAACCATCTCCTAAATTATCTCACACTTATGTCACTTATAACAAATATAAGTAGACTTCAACTTTTGACCAGTTGCTTAGCGACCATTCAAAATTACCATGGACTTTGCAAAGATTTACAACCTTCCAAAATCCACATGCCCCTCTTGGTCACATGACTGCATTCTGGGCACTTGGCAACCAGCCCATATTTATGGCTGTTTGTGAGATTATATGATCATGTGACAACAATTTATGCTTTTTGCCAGATACCAAGATTTATTTCTGGTTTTTGGCTAAAACTGCTCTGTAACAAACAATGTTTGGTAACAATATTAACAAATATTGTTTGTTAACAAATAATATTTAACAACTGCAGTGTTTGCTTAATGACCCACCACAAAAAGGTTTCATAATCTAGCACGGTCACGTGCTGACCACTTTACGTCCATCATGAAAGTAACTTAGCATGATACAAGTTAGTTAACTAATTAGTATCAGTTTATTCTACCTTTAGAAATAGCTAAGAATAAATCAGTGAATCTTTACAATGAGAATATTCTTTACTAATTAAACCTAGAAGAATGAACATGACTCTACCTTATGCCGCTTGATAGTCTTATTAGAATGGTTACGAACCAAGTGCCTGATAGAGAAAATAAACAAGTTTAGTTCCTGGGTTTTTATTCTGGCATTACCTGAAACTAAATGAAGAATTAAAATATAAAACACACAATAAAAAATAAAACTTGAAAATATAGTAAGCTCAATCAGTTTTAAAATGCAAAAGCAGTTTATCCCATGACAAAAAATAAACCTGAGGCAGAATTAAAGACTGGAAGAAAAGAGGAAAATGAGCGTGGCTGAGTTATTCTCTACTGGCGTTATATTTTTCAGGATAAGCTTTCAGAATTAACAGCACTCTTGTGATGGTTCTGTTCCTAGAATCAGAAAGTGGTGTTGAGAGCCTTCTATTCTACTCCCTGATAACAAAAGTGTTTCCCTGCTGTTCTAGTTGCTGTTCCCATGCTAGTTCAACTACTTTAAAGTGCTGAAAGAAGTTATTTGATGTTATAGTGTTATCACTACCCTGGTTACATATATTTTTACATCCTTCTTTCAAAACCTCATAAATAATCCAGACATTTTTTTAAACTGGCAAACACCTGCCCATTTCAGTTGTGATCAAGTGCACACCTCTGATAGAAGAGGTATGCACTTTGAGGGGTTTTTGAAAATTATTTTATTGGCGATTAAGAGCACCTGATTTCACTTTTCAATGTGCTTCTTGCTGTTCATTTTGGATAATAATAGCCTAATATATATTCTCTGGTAATCACCAGGACAGATTATTATAATCCTTTTCAAAAATATCAGCTAGTCCAAAATAAAAATACTTAACTATTAGCTGATACTGGTCAGTGTAATCAGATGATGCCTGTGATTCAGCAACTGCCCTGGAAAACAATCTGTTTCCAAACTCAGTTTGAAGTGTTGTTGTATTAACTTTAAAAGCCCTAAATTACTTGGAGGCAAAGTTTCTAAAAGAAATTTTCTTACGTATGAAACTACTTAGACCCTCATTTTTAAAAGGCCTTTCCTAAATGCATTCCCCTAAAATAATTTTGTTAGGCAGAGACTCTGTTTCATATCCTGTCAACAGATGGTACTTCTCATAAGAAGGCTTTCCTTTTCCTATATTATTGTTTGTTTCACCTCCAGGGGAGAAACATCCTGTATTTTAAAGTTTAGATCCAGCTTTGATGTTCTTAAAGTTTTTAAATATTTTACATTTTGTTTCCTTCACTTAGTGTTGCATTTTGTTTATTTGTTTATTTTTTATGTTACTTGCAGCAATGATTTTTTTGGTTGCACGTGGAAATTAAATACGTATAAATTTTACCATATGCATTAAATATGTGGAACACTTTGTCTCCAGAAGTTGTGAATGCTCCAACACTGGAAGTTTTTAAGGAGAGATTAGATAAGCATTTGTCTGAAGTGGTGTAGGGTTTCCTGCCTAAGCAGGGGGTTGGACTAGAAGACCTCCAAGGTCCCTTCAAACTATTATTCTATTCTATTCTATTCTATTCTATTCTATTCTATTCTATTCTATTCTATTCTATTCTAAATAAGCTTCAATCCTTTCTTTTAAACTGAAATGTATCTTTAAAACAACACGAAAGATTCCCCCCCCACAATATTAGTGCTCATTCAGTAAGTAAAACTATATTTAGACAAACAATCACACAACAAAAACCTGAAAATTTGCAGATATAAAATTATGAATAAAATAGTTCAATTTGGTTTTTTAAAGGAATATGCTTACAACTGTTTGGACAACAAAGCATGAGCAGCTGTAGCCTTCAAGTGAGCAAGATTAACTTTTTCCGAAAATTCCTCCACAGTCTCAATATCCACAGTCTCCTCAAATTCACTGGATTCACTTCCATTCTGTGCCAAAGTAAGGAAACACAGTAAATTATATCAAGAGGTCCTAGTCATGTAAAATATTTAATAACAATTAGTATAAGAATCTACAGTTGAAATAATTAACATAATTCTCTAATGTATACCGAACAGTTATGGCTATATGTCATTTTTTTAAAAAATAGCAATAACTATGGTATCAAAAACCAAGATTTGAATAACTGAAGATCTAATGAACAAGAGTCTTTCACAGTACCAACACAACTATCATAGGACTTACATTGCTGTATTTTAGTGTTAGGCAGTCTGTCAGAGTACTGGTGTAATGATCATAGCCAAGAAATTATGTTGAAAAAACAATTTCAAAGAAAGAAAAGTGAATGATGGATGTAGACTAATGAAGTTGAAAATACTTAAGCTAATTAGAAGGGGCGTTGGTACTTACCTGATACACCCGTTCTTTTTGAGCTGCGAAGAGCATCCAGTAGTGGGAGGTGCTTCAGTCTCCTCATTGTTAGGCTGAGCTTGAATTGAGGAACGCTCCTCCTCCTCCACGCGACTTCTCCGTAATGTTCCCCAGTTTTGCGAAGACGAGAGGAATAAGTGCTCTCATCCTTATTACCTAAAAAGATTCATTGGCCGAAACAAGAGCCCACCAGACGGAAAAAAAGGGTGGGGCTGGATGCTCTTTGAAGCTCAAAGAGAACAGGCGTATCGGGTATGTACCAACGCCCCTTCTCCTATGAGCTGCTCAGAGCATCCAGTAGTGGGACATACCAAAGCTTGGCCTGTCCTACGGGAGGGACTCCGTCTGGCTCAGAATCTCCTCGGGGTTCCTAAGAACCCGTTGCAGAACCCGTCTGCCAAATAAGGCCTCTGTGGAGGCAAACACATCGATTTTGTAGTGTCTAATGAAGGGTGATGGGGAAGCCCAAGTCGCCGCCCGGCAGATTTCAGCTATTGGTGTCTGAGTGGCCCAAGCCGCCGAGGTCGCCGCACTCCTAGTTGAGTGAGCAGTTATACCTCTAGGCACCTGCAGGGCTTGAGACTGATATGATCTGGCTATTGTTGCTCTGATCCAAAAGCCTATGGTGGATGGAGACAACTTGTGATCCTGTGTCTTGGGCTGAAAGGAAACAAATAAAGCTTCCGATTTTCTGAAGGACTGTGGGCGCTTGATGTAGATTCGCAGAGCGCACCTAACATCAAGCTTGTGCCATTGCCTTTCCCTCTCCTGTGAAGGCCTGGGACAGAAGTTTGGAAGGATGAGCTCCTGTGCTCTATGGAAAGCCAAGTTGACCTTGGGCATAAATGTGGGATCGGGACGGAGAACCACCCAATCAGCATGAAAAACGCAGAGGTCTTGTCTGATAGACAAGGCTGCGATTTCTGATATGCAACGAGCGGAGGTGATGGCTAACAGGAAAACTACCCTATATGTCAAAAATTGGAGACTTGACTCCCTCAATGGCTCAAACGGTTCTTTGGTGAGAGAAAGAAGAACCTTGTTAAGGTCCCAGGTGGGGTAACGGTGTACTGCTGGGGGACTTAGATTGGTAGCCCCTCTGAGGAAGGAGCGTATGCGAGGGTGATGAGAAAGGGAGCTGAAAACTTGGCAGGAAATAACTGATAGCGCTGCTACCTGCCTCTTCAGGGTATTAGGGGATAGCCCCTTCTCAAGTCCATCCTGCAGAAATTCTAAAATCTGAGTTACAGAAGGTGAAGTAGGGTCTATTTGAGATTTACTACACCATCTGCAGAAAATGGACCATGTGGCATTGTAAATACGGATGGTTGAGGGTCGCCTGGCAGCTAGAATAGTGCTAATGACTTTGTTGGAGAGCTTCTCGCTCTTCAATCTGCTCTGCTCAACCTCCAGACGGTCAATTGAAACCATTGAGGGTCCGGGTGTAGGAGGGGCCCCTGAGACAGTGAGATCTTGTCTGGTGGAATCCTCCAAGGGGGATTTACCGAGAGGCTGTGAAGATCCGCAAACCACGGCCGCCTGGGCCAGTGAGGTGCCACTAGGAGTAATTCCGCTTTTTCATGTAACAATTTCTGGATGACCCTGGGCACCAGTGCTAGCGGGGGGAATGCATACAAGAGCCCCCTTGGCCATGGGCAGCCGAGGGCATTGTAATTTTCCACCCCGTGGGATGGGTATCTTGAGAAAAATCTCGGGAGCTGAGCATTGAGAGGGGAGGCAAATAGGTCCACCACTGGTTGTCCAAATATCCTTGCAGCTTCTTTAAACAGGGACTGGTGGAGGTGCCACTCTGACTGGTCTATGGTGGCCCTGCTTAGCCAATCTGCTTGTGTGTTTGACAGGCCAGAAATGTGCTCTGCCTTGATAGAAAGAAGACTGTTCTCCGCCCAGCGACACAGGCGCTCAGCTTCTTTCATCAATTGTATGGATTGTGTGCCCCCTTGTTTGTTTATGTGAGCTTTGGCTGTCACATTGTCTGTTAGGATGAGGATGTGTTGACCTCGTACCTGGGGAAGGAAGCTGCAAAGGGCAAAGGAAACAGCGTGAAGCTCCAGCCAGTTTATGCTGCACGACTGTTCTATTGCGGACCATCTGCCCTGGGATGTGAGTGACTGAAGGTGGGCGCCCCATCCGAATAAGCTGGCATCCGTGGTGATAGAAATCCTTTGAGGCTCCTTGAAGAGGCAGCCCTTGTTGATAACCAGTTTGGCCCATCAAAGTAGGGACATGAGGACTTTGGGAGGTACCCTGACCATGCATTTGGAGTTGCTTCTGCCGGATCTCTGGTACGGAAGCAGGAACCACTGGAGGGATCTAGAGTGTAGATGGGCCCAGGGAATAATAGAAATGCATGATATCATTTTTCCTAATAGTTTAGACAAATCTAGTAAGGATACCCTTCTGGAGCGCCTAATCTCCTGAACGGATTTTTAGATGCTAAGTAGTCTATCTGAAGACAGGTAGACTTTGCCTTCCAATGTGTCGATAACTACCCCCAAATGAGTTATTCAAGTCGATGGAGATAACTGACTCTTTTTCCAATTTATGAGAAAACCATGCTCCTAGAGAGAAGCTAAGGTGGCCTGGGTGTCCCTCGCTGCTTGGAGATTAGAGGGGGACAGAATCAAAATGTCGTCCAGGTAACACTGAAGACGAATGGGGATATTCCTGAGATGGGCAGCGAGGGCTGCGAGGACCTTGGTAAAAGTTCTGGGGGCGGAGGCTAGTCCGAAGGGAAGGGCCATGTATTCAAAGTGGTGATTGTTGTAACAGAACCTTAGAAACTTAAAATGGGAAGGCCAAATAGTGATATGTAAATACGCCTCCGTCAAGTCAATGGACGTGAGCACATCCCCATGTCTGATGCCCAGCAATATCGATTGTAGGGTATGCATTTTGAATTTACGATGTTAGAAAATGGTTAAGCCTTTTTAAATCCAAAATTGCTCTCCATCCCCCTGAGTGTTTTGGAACAACAAAGAGATGAGAGTAAAAACCCCACCTTCTTTGTTCAGATGGAACTGGTTGGATGGCTTTTATGTTTAGGAGGAGTTGGATAGCAGAATCCATTAGATTACGCTTGATCGGGTCTCTGGAAGGGGGGCACGGCATAAAGAAATTTGGGGGAGTGGTGTGAAACTCAAGGGCAAGACCAAATCTAACGGTGTCTCTGGCCCACGCGTCAGAGGTAGAAGAGTCCCATTGACTCGCAAACAACTTAAGGCGACCGCCAATGGGGAGAAACTCCCTTGACCTATCTTGGCCATTGGAAGAGCCTGCTTCCTGTTCCTTGAAAAGGCCTCTTGTATTGACTGCCCCTTCTGCTCCTGTCTCCCGAATCAGTTCTATCCTGGGGTTGACCTGACCTGAACAAAGGGGGCCTCTGATACCTGGGGGAGAAGGGGGCCTGATAGAAGGACCGAAAGGAGCCTCTCCGAAAGGGCTGGGGGTTTCTGAAATCTGATCTTTGTATAAGGGAAGGAAGAAACTTTTTCTTGCTGCGGGTCTCCATAAGTAAGGGGTCCAGGGAGGGACCAAACAGCTTATCTCCTACAAGGGGGGAAGAGGCCAGTTTTGCTTTATTTTTAAAATCTGCCTGCCAGTGTCTCAGCCAAAGTAAGCGGCGGGCAGTGACATGTGATGTGATTGCCCGAGAGAACTTGACTGAGTGGTAAGTGGCATCCGCGGAAAACTAATCTTCATGATGTTCTGGTGTGCCCTGATGTTAGTCGTGGGTACGTGTTGCTGCAGTTGGCAAAGCCAACAAATGGTTGCTCTAGTGAAAAAAGATGCGGCCGTAGCCGATCTGATGGCCCAAGCGTCTGGCTGGTGTGCCCTGCGCAGGGCTAACTCGGCCCGCTTTTCCTCAGGCTTTAGAGCCTCTAGCGCCTCAGTCGGAGTTAAGGAGGACGTTAAGCCCACTATGGGCTCATCTACCTCCGGGGTACTCAGTAACTTTGAAAATCCTGGGTCTAAATTAAAGAATTTTTTATCGTGACCAGATGGGGCCAGGTGTACCGCTGTAGAGGCCAGCTGCTTTTGCACTAAATCAGAGAAAATGGGTGGGACCGGTATAACCTCGGCCTCAACTACAGGCTGGTTAAAGATTAGGTCCGCTGGACCTTCCGTTGAGGGTGCAGGGGTGTCGCCTGGTGATTGGGTACTTAGGCCTGAGATGTTCTTGGCCTTGAATAACAGTGATTTGAATAGGTGTGGTCTGAATAAACCCGTGAAGGCGGGCTGGTCCGGGATAAGCCCCTCGTCCTCCGACATTTCCCCTTCCAAGAGGTCCACCTCTGATAGGGGCTCGCTATCTTGCATGGACCCCATTTCGAGTTCATCTGCCTCCATGAACTGGCCCATTTCTCCCTCGTCCTCCTCCTCCCGGCCTTGAAAGTGGGTTTCCTTCTGTAAGTATACCTGGTGGTGGTCCAACCTGGGCAGGGATCTTAGTGACTGAGACTCGAGGTCAGGAGCCACTGGATAATGACTAGACCTGGTTACTTGCTGGAGTCTGTCTGCGATCCCTTGGCGGATGGCCAACTCCACCCAGGTCCTTAGCCTCTCTGGAACCTCCTCAATGAGGGAAACCTCTTGACGAAGGCCAGCGGCTGTGCGGCTGAAGGTGGCTTCTGGCGCCCTTCTAGCCGGAGTTCCAGGAACCTGAACCTGTTGTCCCTGTGAGGGCGAGCTGCGCCTAGATGAGAGGGAAGGATCTAGAGGAGGGGGGGGGTTGAGCGGAGGTAGACGGACTGGAAGGTGGTAAAGCTTGAGGCACCGTGAGGGCTTCCTTGGTGCGCTTATCGATTTCCTTCTGCAGGGCCTTGTGGTGCCTTAAGGCATCCCTCTGGGAAGCTTTGGAGTTCTCTTTAGTCTGCTTACGCAAGTGATGTGTCTTGGTTTTTGCCTTCAATGAAGGACCTTTAGAGGTGTTACCATCTGCCATGTTGATAATTTATATAATGCAGTAATAAACTGGAAACAAAAGTGAGGCGGTTGGCACGCCCAGGGTCCAATCTGACAAGACGGTTGCCCTGATAAGTACTTTACATCCCCCACACCTTTTTTGTGGCTATATAAAATTGTGTGTGTGTGTGTGTGTGTGTGTGTGTGTGTGTGTGTATATATATATATATATATCTCCCTATATAGCATGAGTCGTATCTCAGTGATAATATTATAATGAATTATAATATTATACTGGCAAGAATGTATTGTTATTATATTATTATTTTTATTAGTATTAATATTATAATTAATACTAATATTATTATTATGTTTGTGAATGATACTGCAATGTTGCTGGAATAATTGTTGCGTTATTGCTCCTAGGAGCAGAAGTAGGTCTACAAACTCAATATTATTGATAGAGGAACAGTCAACCAATCAGCCAAATTTCGAAACGCCTAAGGCCCAGTTAGAAAGGAAAATACGGCCTTTAGCAGCTTACTTGCACAGGCGGACAAGGCCTGGGTGCCTGCTGCTGTGCCTCTGAGGAGAGGTGTGAGGGTTAAGCCAACTATACTTAATAAGGAGAAATAACCTCGAGTGCAAGCTTGCCAAAAACGAGGTTAAAAGACTCTGAGAATCCAAAGGGATCCTGCTAATTCGAGTCTACCTCACTCACAGCACAGAAGATAACAAGAGGAAGGCTTCAGCCACAGGTTGCAGCCAAAAATGGCGTAGCCAGTAATGCTTAACTGCTGGGCTGCTCAGCAGCGTCTTCCCTCCAGGAAAAACGAAACCGAAACTCTGGATACAGAGGCAGCAAGGGAAGGGAGAGATTATCCCTTCTCAACTGAAAATGGCATTCGAGGTGGGGGGGAGGGGAAATAGCGATACGACTCAGAACAGTGAAAAAACAAGCCGCTAAGCAACAAAATTGAAATACAAACAAAGAAACACGCAGCGGCAATAAATGGGGCAGAGGCAACTTTCCGGCTATGAGGAGGTAGCGCAAAGCCGCTACAGAGCCTCCTGCCGCCTTCCTGGGGCGCAACAGCGCTTCACCCAGTAAATCAGAATATCAATCAAGCAACTGCGCAGAGGCTAAAGAGAGGGAAATGAGTCAAACCTGAAAGGAAACTTCAATTTGGAGTCTTTAAGCGAAGACGAGTTTCGGCCAAGGAGCAAAATAAAGCACTGCCTGTCTCGCACGAGGCTGAGCTAAAACTGGGGAACACTACGGAGGAGTCACGTGGAGGAGGAGGAGCGTTCCTCAATTCAAGCTCAGCCTAACAATGCGGAGACTGAAGCACCTCCCACTACTGGATGCTCTGAGCAGCTCATAGGAGAAACAGTAATTTTCTGGAGATTGACAGTTTTGTACTGATTTAATTAAGTTGGATTTCCTGTATGCTAAAGCACCCATAACAGCAATTAAAGTATAACAAAAAGCTTTAATTCTTCCAGCTTTATGAGATGAGGGGGGGTGAACTTTACAAGGACTGTTTCACAGTGGCATTAATTATCCTAACTAACATACATCTGTTTGAAATTACACTGGCCCCATCGTACTGGCTTTACTTCACCTTTCAAAAATTGAATTATTTTGGAAAGCCCATGGAGGATGAAATGCCATCAGTTATTACTGTTGTTGCTACTTTATTTTAATTACACAAGATATTTTACTGTATTTACTATAAGAGCCATGGTGGCGCAGTGGTTAGATTGCAATATTGCGGGCAAATTCTACCTACTGCCAGAAACTTGATTCTGACCCGTTCAAGGTTGACTCAGAATTCTATCCTTCTGAGGTCTGTAAAATGAGGACCAAGATTGTTGGGAGCAATATGCTGACTCTGTAAACCACTTTGAGACAATTGTAAAGCACTATGAAGCAGTATATAAGTCTAAGCGCTACTGCTATATTATTGATTTGCCTTTATCTACTCTTTTTAATGAAAGTTTAGCCTATCTGGCATCCAACTTTCTTTCCATTTCAGACCTAGCACTTTTCCTTTATTTCTTCTATGTTAACACTGAAATCTTTTGGCCCACTGGCTATCATCCCAAGTTAGGTTGGTTGGTGTCGTTCCCCCCACCCCACCCAAGCCCTCCACTTGGCTTTTGAGGCTGGAGAACTATGAGTTATGAAAACTCTCCTTTGTATTTCATATGGACATGGTAGTTGTTCATTTGGATACTTTCTTCCATAATCAGTGTCAGCCATTCCATTAGTGGATTAGAGAAATCACAAATGAAGAACTGATTACTCGCATCTGTTTGCAGTTCTTTCTGTGGAGATTTGTGAATTTTAGCAACTGGGCTCCTCACTCATTTGGTCTCTTATTCCTTCAGAACTTGTGTTCTCAGAAATGTAATGGTTCAGTGAGAGCTGCACCTTGATGCATGGTATGTATAATGTGGGATTCCTGACAAATATTCTGTAAACATTTCTGGGCTCCACACAGAAATGAATTTCAGAGACCACAAAGTATTTAAATAGATCCAAGAACTACTAGTAGATTTGACTGATTTGCAGTAGGCCACCAAGGATTTCTGACTTCCAACCTTCTAAGAAAAGCCACACTTAAGACTTAGCTTTTTAAAATTAGGATTCAGAAAAGGAAAGGTTAAGAATGAAATTGAATTTCTGTAGGAATATCTTTCAAATGGTCCTAGAATCAATTATGCTATGTTCAACATATTTTGCTTCTCTAGAGACTCTTCAATGCCTGTCTGTAGATAGATTTCTAGTAAAAAACAATTAGGATGATTGAACAATCAACAGTCTGCCCATCCCTGCTAAGAAAAACTCTTAAGGAAGCCTTTTACATTTTAGCTACCTGTTTGATGGTCACTGGCTGCATTATAGAATTTTAAAAGATAATTCATTGATTCTTTGGTAGATATTTCTCTTATTACCTGTCCCTATTACTTTGGCCTCACCTACTGGCAATCATGAACAGATCCCCAAAAGGCTCCTCCTTGCTTGGTAGAGAAGCTATTTCAGGAAAGCAACTGTTCCAAGAGCTGTCATGATGGTAGAAAGCACTTGAGGCAAAAATGAAACATCCACAACCTTTCCAAGGATCTTTCAAAGTCAAGAGTGAACGGGTTTAAATCCTGCCAATATGGAGATAGCATTCAAATAGTAGCTTTAGGCATTTCAGCAAGACATGTATGTATCAGGGGCTGGTGGTGGAAATAACAGTAACTTTGAGAAAGATATTAAGGTTGACTGTATTTTCATCTCATCCATAATCAACTATCTATTTTTGGCTGATAAATCTTACCTTGAAGCTGATTCTAATTATATGTACAAAACTACAATGATCTTATTAGAAAGACAAAGGAAATACTGTAATATCTAAAACCTGATCTTTTGGGGGGAGCTACAGTATATAACCTTTTCAAATATCAAGCATCATTTTGATTGAAGCTGTTAGATTTATCTGATTAGTTATGTATTTTTGAAATTTATGAGTATTTTTTAATTTAAAAACTTAAGATACTTACCAATACTTCAACATTTACTGTATCCTCACTTTGATACCCAAATGCTTCATCAACCATCTCATTAGCAGATTCTTCTGTTTTTTCATCTTTTTCTGCATCATCCCAGTTAATATCAATAAGAGATGAGGCATTTTTTCTGTGATTCTTGGTTTTCCATGTGTTTTGTTTTGTGGATTTGGTTAATTTCTCCGCAAGTTCATCAGCACCCACATTGATTTTGTTTTGTACAACTAAAGATGGTCTGGATATTTTGCCACAAGTTTTACTAATCTTGTGCACAACTTTCTTATTTTGATTATCTTCTTGTATATCCTTAATACTTTTTTCATAACTAGAAAAGTTACTTTGAAAATCAGTATTTTTTTCATATAAATCTTTGTGAGTACTATCCAGGTATTCATTTCCTAAGGTATTATTTTTTCCAATGTTGATCTTGGCCTTCTCATTTACTTTTTCTTTATCCTTTTCTTTAGCCACAAAGTCACACTTCTCCTTCATGTTCTGTATTGGCAATTCTGGATCTTCGTTTTTCCATGGATCTACAGATGGTTTGGTCTTTGTTTGCAGCTTTTCGGTATTATTTAGGGTTTTGGGGGGCTGAGCTGGTTTCCCTGGTTTCCACCAGGACTGTTCAGTAATCAATCCTGCTTTTGTATCTAATGGTTTTTGTTCAGCTTTTTTTGATTCAGTAATTGGATCTTGCGTTGACTTTTCTGGTAATATATTGTGAGCAACTTCATCACATTTTTCATTAGGATATGGAACTTTATCTAAGGGGTGTTCATCATCTTTGTCTTGATTTGTTTTCTTAATCAATGCTTCATCTTCTTCACCTTTTTGCTTCTCACTGGTATAGGAGTGGTCCGATTGTATATTAGCTTGTAACATGAGAGAAAAATTTGGTAACTTCAATATTTCAGCATCTTTTTCAATTATTTCTGATATATTCCTGTTACATGTTATTTCTTCGGAATGGAAGTCTGGTAGATTGTTTTCTTTTAATTTACTAATTTCTGAGCCAGTAATTTCTGCCATTTGTGAACATATGGAATCTTCTTTTAACTTATTGGCACTGAGCTCATTTGTCTTATGTGAAATTTTAATCTCAAGAGGTGCAACTTTCTTTGCAATGGAACCTGGATCATTCTTCTGCCCTGGAAACTGAAGCAAAGCAAAACTGCCTGACTGTAGAGATATTAGATTATTTATATTGCTTGGTACCTCACTGGCATTACACCTTATTTTAGACTGAGAACCCGTTTGATCGGAATTGTTTTTTATTCCAGAAGGAGAAATTCTCAGAGTCAAAGTACCAACTGGGGACACAGAACCTGAAGAATTAACAGGTGTTACTTGAGTTATCAAAGCAGAATGCACGGCTGTAGTTCTCATGTCCTGTAATGTCCAATTTGTGACAAGGGATTCTGAAGCAGCAGAAGTGCCCTCAATGATAGAAGACATAAGTATGGTAGAAGGAGGCATAGGCAACAGAGAATTAGTACCATTAGGTGACACTGTGAAAACTGAAGGGGACTTATTGGTAGGGGAAACAGGCATAGAATAGGGTAGGGATGGTGAAATTGCAGCTGTAGAAGATGCAAGTGTAGTAGAAGAGGTTGTGGGCGACAAAGGAATGTCAGTAGTAGAGGTCATGGACAAAAGCGAAGATGCTTCAGCAGAGGGGGATAAAGATAAAGCATTAGAGGACATGGGGAGCACTAACGAGGACTCAGTGGTAGGAGTCTGTGCTAATAGTGCAGTGGTTGCGCTTGATGTCCCAGATAAAACAGAAATGTTCTCTGCGGTTGAGAATTCAGATAAAACTGAAGGACATGTAGACAGCATTGAAGTCGTAGTGGAGGTCACTGATGGAATAGCAGAAGCTTGACACGCGGCTATTTCAGGAAGCTTAGAAGGCCCAGGAAGTCGGATTCCTACCACAGAGCCTGTAATACAAACATTTTAAAAATATTATTTCTTGCTAAATACTTATTCCATCCTCCAGCATAAGCATTATTTTTTAATGCAATATCAAATCCAAGGCAGAAATAAACAAATCCTGCTCAGATATCTTCCCACAACTTTTTTTAGGTGGTCATTTTACATTCACCAAACAGATGCACTTGCACAGATTATCTCGGTAGCGCAGTGGTTAGATTTCTTTACTGCAAGCCACTTCGGCTGACTCTTGGCTGCCTGCAATTTGGCAGTTCAAATGCCACCAGGCTCAAGGTTGACTCAGCCTTCCATCCTTCCGAGCTGGGTAAAATGAGGACCCAGATTGTTGGGGGCAATAGGCTGACTTTGCAACGCCACTTAGAGAGGGCTGTAGAGCACTATAAAGTGGTATATAAATCTAAGTGCTATTGCTATTGCTACTATTTGGTCCTTCCTGAGCTACTTTTTGCAGAAAGTGAAGCCGATCTCACTGAATATTCTCAGTGTAGCGCCTCTTGGCTTTTACTTCAATTCTTTAAACCAGAGATTCTTAAACTTTCTCAGTTCATGGCACCCTTAAATGTTTCAGTAATTTGTTTCATGGCTTCCCTAGGCCAAATCTGTGAACTTATTTAATGTTTCATTTATTTTATTTTTGTAGATGTTTTTAATTGTTTTAATTTTTTAAAGAATTGTATGCTGCCCAGAGTCACTCAGTTGAGTTGGGTGGCTATAAATTGAACAAATAAAATAAACTACCTTGAGTTAGTAATTCGGGAGTGTTTGAAAGATGTTCCAGTATGGTTGTATTTCCCTTAAAAAGTCTGAAATACTGTGTGGCACCCTTATGCACCATAGCCTTAAATTACAGCAGATATCCTTAATGGTAGGCAAAAGTACACTGACTGAGAAGGGATAAAATTCATTTAAAACAAAACTGGATAGAACTTCCTCGTTACAAAACATAACTCTTAAGAACTTGTATTCAACTTAGAGATATTAGAGATTTTTAGTTACATTTTTGTGACTTTCGGCTGTTAACCGAAATAGAAGCATTCACAATATAACTTTGACCAAAATAATGAAATCATTAAAAACATCACCAAAAGAGAATCCCTGTAATAATTAACACTTAGTAACCCTGTTAGGTAATTAATATAAATTAAAAGTGCCCTTTTGAAAAACATAGTAGACACAGCTCAAATAGAAGAACCACCAACTTAAGTCTGGCTAAGGTAAGTCAGCAAATGTATTCATGGAGAAAATAGTTTCAAAAGAAAAGATTGTTGTTTGGTATCTTTTTGAATAATTCCATATATTCAAGCTAGAAAGCCAATGTATAGAAGTGTCTAAAGGAATGGAAGAAAGATCATATTCCATTAATGGGAAGCAATGATACAATTCAAGGGGAAAAGAGATATTCAACTGCAAGGCTATATATTGGAAATATTCTTTTGGGTGGCATGAAACAAAACAATCTTCTAGAAGTTATGACACAATTATTAGAATATTCTTCTGGAGAAGATGCATCTATCATTTACTCTCATAACTTCAAAATGGTTCACAGCTATTAACTGAATTCTTCCAGGATGATTTTGATTACTTGCCCTGCCAAAATATCCTTTCAAATGTCATAACCCCTGAGCACTTTATTGATAAAAAACCACCAACTTTTGTTTCTATGTTAATGTTATTTCTTTTGAACTAATACAACTTACATTAAAGGAGTGTATTTACCTTTTAGTAACAAATAATGTAAATACTGCATGGGTGGAAACATTCCCAGAAGATCAGGTATAAATTAAACAAAATGAAATTTTCCAATCTAGATGGTGGGCATAATTCAGCAAACCCTGAGAAAAATAAAATTTGCGAACACAGCAGGAGCATATGTTCCCTTTCAGGTGAGCTTTTAAAAAAGGAGGAGGATAGCTCCCTTTTGCTGTGGGTTTTTTTTTTTTGCCTCCAATTACAATTACTTCCCAATTTGACTCCTGCCTTTAAGAGCGGTTTCCTGATTTAGAGAAGGGTTGGTACAACATTAAAAATTGTGGAGAAATGTTTTAGGAACTGAAACTGAAGAATTCCAAGAGGGCCAATCCAACCACTTTCTTACACAAACCTACATAAACACTTATCCAGTGGAATGTATTTTAATATACTAAAACTAGATCCACAAATATAACAGGACCTGTTATTTCAGAATTACTTACACAATCGCATAAAATAGCAAAATAGTTGCTGTATTCTGTACCTGGGTTACGGAACATTATGGGCTGTAAAGTGGACTGTGCTCCCGAAGTCTGAAGTTGTTGCAAGGGAACAAGTTGGATAATCTGGCCATTGGGGTGTCGGTAGAGATTAACAGCACCTGGATGTCTCAAAGGTTGCAAAACTATTCTTTTGCCAGAAGCAAGTTGCATATTTTGTGAAGGTCGCAAATTAGAAGAACACTGCTGTACTGGAATCAAAATAAAACGGGTTCCCATACGATACTCTGCTCCACGAGGCAAACCTGGAGGACTTGTAGCACCTGTATTATTGAGAAAAAAAAACATTTTTCTTAGCCAATTCTTACTACTCAAGTAAGATTTGCAGACTATGATATAGATGCAAATTTTTGCTGTAACTAGTGCTTCCCAAAATAGAGCAAGAAAAACTTTAGATCCCTTTTTTGCATTCCAGGGGTTTTAAAGGGACAAGAAAGATTCCATGTCTTTATTCCCTCTCCTGATGAAGACAGAATACATAGCTGGAAGAAGAGAAGTCATCATTACCAAATATTATTACAAAAAAGAAAGTGTAGTTCATTGGTGTGGCAATATCTGGAGACAACATAAGTGATGAAAAACAACATTAAAAAAATAAAAATAGTGATTTTCAAATTGATATTGAAACATTATAGAGGGGGAAAATAAATTTTCATCCCAATTATAATTAGTAAAATACTTAAAGGAATCACAAAGTACTCCAACTTTGTAAATTATGACACCCTACTTCTGCAGACTACCCTGTTTGGAACAGTGCATATATTATGGCAATATGTCCATGTGTCCTTGGCTAGGAACTAATATTAATAATAATAATAAAAACAAGAAAAATTAGAAACAACACAAAATTTGTGTCTAATTGGGTTTAAAGCCATTGGACTGGAAATTCAAGTCCTGCCTTGAAGAAAAAAACAACTAAGTGATATTGCACCACTCTAATGGCAAATGTTCCCAAATATTTCCAAGAAAAATGCAGACTTCTCCATGTAGTTGTTGTCAGAACTGAAGAGTGACTTTGAAAGCATATGCATGCACAAATACATTAAGTCTTTTTATATTAACCTGTTAGCATGGCAATCACACTTAAAGGATGGAGGAACTGCATGCTGCACAAGATTCTGGAGAGTAATTCAAGATTTTACACAGATAAGGATAGTCTTTTTTGACCTCATCATATGGAAAGAACAGAAAATGTTAGCTAACAATCACATACTGCAGAAGAGTCTGAAGCAGTATCCAAAGAGCAACTGACAAATTTGAATTTTCACATGCTATAGTTAGTTACATGAATTAAGAATATTGATTTGATATATTTAACTTTATGATAAATATTGCTAAATTTTTGTAGAGATACAAATTTTGATTCTCAGTTTACAATCTTTACAAAAATATTTGAAATAATTATCAATTATTTTCAGCTTCTACCTGTACGATTCAATGCCTGCTTTCATTTTTCACTACATCAGCAAATGAATAACTTAGTTTGACTTTTAGCAATTAAACTACCAGGAAAGCTTCACTGTTAGGACAATATATCTGTATGTTTAGGAAGAACTCCTCTATCACAGCAGTCCCCAACCTTTATGGCTCAGCAACTCGGCTGTGGGGGGAGAGTTGGTGCGCGTGTGTATATGTGCTGACCCACCACTTGTGCACATACATGCTAGCCTGCTGCTTACACAAGTTGAGCTACATGCATGCGCGCCAGCTGGCTACTTTGCAAGTTGAGCTGCGCATGTGATGGCCCAGTTCCAAACAGCCCACAATCCGGTAGTAGGTTGCAGCCTGGGGGCGGGGACCCCTGCTCTACCTTATCACAGGTTGGCTGGAAATGTAAAGATTATATCAAAACAAACATCTGTAGCAAGAAGTGACGATAAATATGAGTTTTACCCTGTTTTTGATTTGACACAGGGCTTTTTTGAATTCCTGAGAGTCCAGTGGGTTGAACACAGCTAACTGATGAAGTTGGTGAAGTCACAGGGAGTGGGATTACAGCTGTGGACGTAGAAACTGGAATTGAAGACTGACCAAAAGGCATGCTTGTAACTGGCTTTGTCATTTCCACAGCATCCATGGCTGAGGGTATATTTATTTCTTGTTTTTCAACAGTATTCGTGCAAGCAATGTCAGGACTGTTATTCTGCAAAGGGCTGGAAATTGTTACAGGAAGGGATGCTACAGAAGTTATAGCAGTTGTAGTAACAACTGTGGTTGAACTAGCAGAAGACGAGATAGATTTGGTATTAGATTTCTGTGGTCTTGTCAGAGATTGAGATGATCCAGTTTCAGAAGCCTTCTTCTGTAGACCTCCAACAATATTTAGAAAGGTGAACTGATTGGTCACACCATCTAATAATGGCCGAGGAGCTGAAAAGAAAGATTTTCAAAGTCATTATATTAATATTTTTATGTTATATTTTCTACATGTATGGCAGTGATCGATTCTGGTTGCATTTTCTTACCAAAGGAGGTCAAGTATAGAAGAAACTCTCTTATCCTGCCTATGTCTTAAAAACTTCAGTTATGAATCCATGTAAGGACAACAGATATAAAAATGGTTACATGTAAGCAAAAGCTAATTTTAAATAGTTTAAAATATTTCAGAGTTCACATTTCTCTGTTTCCTTACATGAAGTTTAATGAGAAGACAAAGTTGGGGACAAATCAAAGAAAAATTAAACAATCTATTACAAAGTATTTCCTATATTTCCTATATTCCTAATATTTTAATTTTGAATAACACCTAAAATAAAATATATTGTTAAAAAAATATGAAACCCAGTTTAACAAGGCCTGGGCAGAAGCAGACTCTTAGTCCCAATGTCCCAAAGGTGCTTTTTCTAAAAGGCAACTGGACTTTCTTGGTTTTTGTTCTCTTTGAAAATGTTTTGCTTCTCATCCAAGAATCTTCGATCGTTCAGAAATTCTTCATTTTCACCCTCAGGCCTCCCATTATCTTGGTTTTTAATTTAAGTCTTGTCGTTTTTCTCCAAGGATGGCTTAACAGTATATCAGAATCAATGGCACTATTCAACATGATAGAACAAATAACTCTTCGTTTTTCATTCATCCATTCATTTCTTTTACAATACAATAGAAAAAAAAATCCAACCTACCTATCTGTCTCTGTGATGATACACGAGCAGTGGAAACTGATGTAGTATCAGCAGAAAATGGAGTTTTGGATGCTTCTGATGGGGACGCTTCAGTTGGCAGTGATTCAGAAACAGCAAGTTTATTACTGGGTGCTATCTTGACGTTTGTTGTTGAGAGATCAGACATGGTCGGTTGCAGTCTACCCATGAGATAAGCTGCTAGATGACTGGCTGGATGCAATGCTCCCATCTGTCCCAAAATAAGTTTGGCTTGAGGAGAATGTTTACCATTAACCTGAAATAAAAGAGGCAAAATGCCACACCTACTACCACAGCATGGTTCAATAGAGTCTACAGCAAAGATGCTTGATTTAATTTGTACTTAATGCAATAGAATCGTGGTTTCATTTTAAAAAAGCTGAAATCAATTCCATTGAACTTCTTCTAAAATTTATTTCAATTTAAAAAGCAATTTGTAGCACCACACGAATAACTGCTGCTTGGAAACATATTTCTTAACCTATCTTATTCTAAATAAAGTATTTTTCATGCTTCAGAGCCTGGTCATGTGTTTTATTTTTTAAAAAATTTCCAATGGTTTTTCCCATAGTAAAAAATTTCCAATAGTTTTTCACTTAATAAAATATTAAATAATAAGTATCAAAACTCTTTCTTATTCAAAAGCCTATGGATCAGTTACAGGTAGTCCTCAACTTACGATTAGTCGCTTAGCAACTGTTTGAAGTCACAATGGAACTCCCTGGGGATACTTATGACTCAGATTTTGAGATTCCAGCAATTCCCACTCCCTCAATCACATAACTACACTTTGAGCACTTGGCAACGGAGCCGCATTTACAGCCCTTTGCAGTGTTCCATGGTCACTGCATTTCAAGAGAGTTTTGCCAAAAACTAGCAGTTACTTCCAATTTTGGGCAAAACCATTCCTATAATAACCACAGGTTCCCTTAACGACCAGTATTCACTTAATAAACAAAGCAAAAAAGTTAATAAAATTGGGTCAGTCATGTGGGTGACCCAATTTATGACTGTCAAAACGGCGATGGGCAGCTCCATTATAGTCATTACTCGAAGACTACCTGTACTTGGATAAATTTTCTTCTGATTGATAAATTGACAAATTTCTAGGCTAACTGTTTACCCTTCCTGTTAGCTCAAGAAGCACAAATAAAGTTTTTGACTTAAATGTTTTAACACGCTGTCTTCTACTTCAGTAACATGGCTACGGTTAGGACAAAAAGAGGTTAAAGTTAGCAGTCAATATTAATGGGAAAGAAATTAGAAAGAAAACTCATCTGTTTATAATGTGGCAAGAGTATCTGTAAGGAAAAAAATAAACTAATTTCAAGTAATCAGAGAGATTGAGTGACTCTACAAATAAGATCAGGAATTCTATTCATCCTATTCTGTCCCTCTCCACTTAAGAATAACAATTACTAACAAATATTAGGGCTGGAAGTAGCATTCTATACACTGAAATCCAAACTGTCCCAGAAGAATCCCCTACCTGAATCGAACCTGAGGGATTCAAGTCATATTTGCATGTGTTAGCAATCAGCTTTCCTGCAGAAGAAAGTCCTGCATAAAAGGGTAAACCTTTCTTCCTCTGTTTCTGTAATTTTTGAGGGGTTAATTTTTCGGTTCTTTTGCACGGTGACAATCCAGCATTAGGTGACTCAACAACAACAGGAAGGTTTTGGTTCTTGTTCTGACATGGTGGCATGGAGATTTTCACTCGTGAAGAATAGATAGGTGTGTGCTTTTCATCCCAGGTTTTGCTTTCAGATTCTAGCTCAATAATAAAATGGCCTACTTTGAGTGATTTAGGCATCTTATTTCTGATATGCTGTGATAAGATACTCAAGATCTCTTTGCGATCCTCCTCCCAGTTGCAATCAGAAATAATCTCAATTAGTTTGTTTTTGCCATCTGGGGTAATACGATGAACATAAGAAGTAGATGGATGCTCAGCACTACAGGAAAACCACCAGCTTTTCTCTAGGAAAGAATGGAAAAGGGTTATTGCAACTTTACAACTTACAATTTAACTTGGATTTGTTCTGTTATTTTCGTCAACATGAAAAAAGTCACAAGGGGAAATATCAAAAGAAACAGATCTCAGTAAACAGCATCATACTTTATTAACAACCAGCTCGATACCTGTGCTTCGCTACGAAACGATGTGGTCGCGGGTAGTTTTTGAGGAGGAAAATAAGAGGGAAAAAATTCTGCCTCTGCCTACCAGCATCCATTGGTATGCATCTGGCTGGCGTCCTGTCAGTGTTTGAGAGAGTTGAGGGCTGTTTAAAAACTGAAACAGTATTTGCTGTGTTAGCAAGGAGACAGCAAGGAGGTTGGGTGTGATTTAGCTCAACTGTTCTGTACTAAAGCTGCTTGGTGCTGTGAAACTAAAACTGAAACTCCTTTGCTTGTTTTTTGCATTTTGGAACAGATTTCTTTTCAGGTGGGGAAGGGGAGTAGAACTCCTTAGCATCAGAGCGTGTTAATAATAATACACAAAATACTAATGTTCTGATGGTCATTTCGAAAAACCCTTTCTTAGTGAGCACCTAGAAGCCAAAAGGGACATACGTGCCAAATTTCAAGTTTGTAGGCTTTACTGTTCTGGAGATTTTGTGACGATGCGTGAGTGGTATTTTGCTTTTATATCAATAGATAAAACTATAATATTTAGGCATATGCTAAATGTTATATTGGCTATATATTAATATACTGCTAATATTTGCAGCAATAGGCGACTGCATCCCTGCAGCCTGAAACAGAGAATTGTCGGGAGGCTAATCCAACCGACAATCAACTGCTTGTGCTAATCAAGCTGTGCTGAAGCTGACCGGGCCTTTTTGCTGTTTGCTTCAAGGAGGCAAATTGCTGGGAGGCAGAGGCCGAAGGGTGGGGGGCGGTGAGTGGGCAGAGCTTCGGCAACATTCACTGCATAAGACACACGGACACTTCCACCCACTTGGGGTGGGGGGGGAGTGTGTCTTATACACCGAAAAATACGGTATGTGGAAGCTGTCTGTGGATTGGAGAGTTGGTTTTGTGCCCAACTCCCCTCTAACTTCCAGGGGATTAAATATAAATACAATACAGATTAGTCCTCAACTTACAACCACAATTGAGCCCAGAATTTATGTTGCTGAGTTTTGCCCCCATTTTATGACTTTTCTTGACACTTTTGTTAAATGAATCACTGCAGTTGTTAAATTAGAAACATAGTTGTTAAGCGAATTTGGCTTCCTCATTGATTTTGCTTGTCAGAAAGTCAAAAGGGGATCACATGACTCCGGGACATTGCAACCATCATAAATATAAAGCAGTTGTCAAGCATCCAAATGTACATCAATATGACTGTGGGGATGTTACAATGATCACAAGTGTGAAAAATGGTCATAAGTCACTTTTTTTCAGTGCCATTCTAACTTTGAACAGTCATTAAATGAACTGTTGTAAAACGAGGATTACTTGTACTTATCAGGATCAAGCAGTTAGAAATGGCTGGAGTCTGGGAGCAGATGTTCCTTAATGATGGTGAGATTCAATTAATGACAACAGCCAGGACACCAGGGATTGCTAAGTAATGCTGCTTTATGAACAGACTGCTTAGCAGTGGAAATGCCAGTCCCAGTTGCCATCACAAGTTGAGGACTATTTAACAATCTTCAGAATTGCGAGAGATTCCCTATGCAATTCCTGGCAATGATTAGCATTATATATTTACAGTTTAATTCACATTTTTGACTTTTATTTCTGAACTATACAGAGAACAATCCAGACTGATGCAGGAATGTTATATCAAGAAAAACAAATTATTCAGCATTGTGGGTCTAGGACTTTAGGTCAATATTAATAGTAGTTGCATTTAAGGCAAGACAAAGCAATTGGAATTCGCACTGAATCTACCCACTTCTCTGGAACATTGTTTTTCATAATCTACGTTGCCTCAGTTTAGTTCTGCTTTGCTTCTTCCTTGGAGAAAATATTCAATTCTGTTTAGATTGCCAAAATTAGGCATTACTTATTTTATATCCCCACCCTCCACCCCCCCTGGTATTTCCTACTAATTCTATGTGACTGAACTGATCACACAAAGAACATGATGACTAAGATCAAGTTGTAAGTTTACCTCCAGGATCTTTATCCTCTTCAATTTTCAGGGGCTGGGGATCTGCATCATGTTCCTGGAAACAATATAGAAATATGCATATATCTTAAAATCTGATTATAAGTTGAAAATCTTCCCCAATGCTTATCTGAAATCAATCTTTAAATGCCAATATTTCAAAATGAGGCATAATCAGACTGAGCCATTTATAGCAAAATTAGAAATGGCCAGTTTTCTGATTGACAGATTACATGTTGCATAGTTCTGAATAATACACGTAGTCCTCTAGTTACAATGGCAAATGGAGCCAGGATTGTGTGACTAAGTGATATGCTCATAAAGCATGACAGCATGTAAAATGTAATCTTGGTTCCCCACCCTAACTGCAAGATGTGCATGTCATTAAGCAGCAAGTGGTGGGAGTCCCAGGTGAGGATTGCAAGGGTGCCAGCCGAGGTATGAAGGAGGCCCTGGGGACCCCAAAGGAGACCCTGTGCAAGTGAGGGAGAAGGGTGATGCAGGTGGATACATCTGAGTACAGGGAGGCCAGGAAGAAGGATGCATCATGGTGTACAGGAAGGGGGGCGGCTTACCAGAGCGACTTGCAAGATCTTTGCTGGCTTCCCCATTGACTTTGCTAAAGTTGTTCTGTTTTTAGAAATCTTCCCCTCCCCTCCCCTGTAATTTCAGGCACAGGTTTAAGTCCATTTTTTCCAGCACCAACATATTTTTTAAAGTTTTACTTGTTTTATTAATATAATATATATAAAAATTCCATTTCAATCAAACTTTGTTTTCTGGGTACAACTGTTCTTAGGCAATCGTAATCAAGGTGTTTACAATAACATTCATCACAATAACATTAATACTGTAGTAACAATATTTTATTTGTCCGTTTTAACAAATTTCCATTTTAACATTTATCCTTTTATGTCCCTTTCTCTCTAACTTCTGTTTTTATTGTCTAGCCATCGATAAAAGCACCAACATAATTTTGAACAGTTGCTAAAAATGGTTGCAAATTGTAATTTGTAGCCCTGACATGTGCTGGTGGTGACCAATTCAAGTACTCATTAGATCTAACAGGATAGTTTTCTGAGATCATCTGAGATTATCTAAAATGCTACAAATCCAGGGAAAAGGTACAGCTCATATTAAGAGTTGCAGAAGCTTTGTCCTCATATGTCCTAAAGCACTGACAAATATTAGAAAATCAAAAAAGCCCAGGTGTGCAAATCTAGGTGGCAAGATTTTCTTTTTGTTAATTCAAGAAAGAAAATATGCTTTATAGTAATTTAAAACTGGAAAATATGTTTTTCCCAGAATCATGGAACTTAGGGGTGGCCATTTCGCCCACTGAGGCCAATCTCCTGCTTAGCAAAATTAAAGCATCCCAAACAGATGATTGTCTAGCTTCTCTTGAATTCATCCAGTAAAAGACCCTTCTAATGTATTACCTCCTGCAACTTGAATACGTTATTTCATGCCCCTGCCTTCTGGAAGAAGACAGAACAGGTCTTCTGATTGTTTTTATGTCACATCCTTACAGGTTACTGAAGAGTATTATCATATTTATTTTTAGTTATCTTCTCACAAGGCTACATATAGCCAAGTTACTTTAATCTTTCTTCATCAACTATCTAATTAATAAAGTAAGCTTTCTGAGCAAAAAACAATAGTAGCAGAAAATAAAAACAAATAAAATGGTTCAGATAAATACTAAATACCACACTAAATACGAATAGTAGAATAAAAAACTTCAAATGTTAGTTTGCAAAATTATTGTGCATAAAATTCTACATATTATTGTATATGTATGTACGTATGTACACACATACACATGCACATACAGATGACTTATGTACACACTACATACGTAACATAGAACAACATTAAAACATTTATGAAGACATAATTTATGTTTATTTTTAATTCCATAATTTATGGAACTATTTTCCTGTGTAAAGCAATGTCAGTTGAAATAAATTTTGCAACTTTCTTGGGGAAGTAAGGATTCTAGTCAGAGAATGAAAAGCAAATGTAAATGGACAGAGCACATGAAACTTTTTTTAATAAACAGATTTAATAAAATTAGTCCCTCACCTGCCATAATACTGTATTGAGCTGCTGAAACTTGGCTTCCCAAATATTTTGACTTTTCTTTTCTAATCATAATTAAGATGGGATCAGGAAGCCTACAGGAGGCACCTAGTCCTATAATCTTTAGAAATGTCCTCCTAAAATATTCAGAGGGTTAAGAAAAAGAGGGCAATGGAAAGATTCAAGGAAGGCATTCATAACCTCATCCTTAAAACCACCAGAAATGCCCCCAAATTTGCCATCAAAATTATTGTTGGGTGGAAGGAGAACAGATCAAGGAATTTAAGGGAGGGGAAATGGAATAGTTTGCCTCACACTGTCCTGGTACCATCCTCAACTTTATAGTTATTTACACCCTCTAACTCCAGTAATTCCCTTAGCAAAGTCTGAACAAAGAATGATTTGGTCAGCAATAAAGCACAGTAACAATTTAGTTTGGTAGTACTGCATCTAGGTTCTTTTCCTTAAGTTTAGTTTAGATCTGGTTTGGTCATTACTGAACATGTCTTAAATTATACTACTAAGTAGTTTAATGTCAGCCCAATAACATTTTATCATTTTTCTTAAAAGATATACATTAAAAATAGTCAATAATACTTTACCTTTTCAATATGTTTTTCACAATTCCAGGGGCATTTTTCCTGCTGACCTTTCTCTTGTACTTTCCGTTCATATATTCGCACACGAGCACAAGTCATCATACTTTCAAAATATAGATAAACAGGGTCCTTATCTTCTTCTCGAATCTATAAACCACACAAGGTGAGCTTTTAGTTAAATGAATGTCAGTGTAAGTTGCATTTATATCATTTGAACAATTTAAGTGCCTTTTGCATTTTCTCTATAACTATAAAAAGGGAGCAGCATCTTTCAAAAGCTAATGTTTATTAGAAATGTTTCCAATTGAGCAAAACAACAGAAGCAGTCTGACTGCCCAAAGCTAAGCCATGATACAGCATTAATAAATCAGCCGTTTTCTTTTAATGCCTCTTTAAAAAAACAGCTTAAGCATATGAACATTTTGTTTATTACACTTTGCAGTTTGTTACACACTTACCCTGAGAAAAATACCATGAACAAGTGGAAAACAATCCTTTCCACATGTTGTTTCTCAAGAAGCTAGAGGAAATAAAGATGGAAGGAGAGATATTGTAATGTAATGGTACTGATAGGAAGGAAACTGATATATGTTTAAAAAGTTGGGATGTGTTATTGTTGTGACTTGGAGGTTTGAGCCTGCTCTGTCAGAAGACATAGGCTCGAGTGATGAGGAAGATTTGGCATTGAGGTTTGAGCCTGCTTTGTTGGGAGACAAAGACGTGAGTCAGGAGGAAGAGGAGGATTTGGCTCTGAGGTTTGAGCCTGCTTTGCTGGAACTTTCGGAATCATCTTCCTCCCCAGAATCTTCCTCCCTGGTTGTGCCTCAGGTGTCGGCAGATAATCAGGAGAGCGTGCCGGAGTCCTTGGCTGAGGATCAAGCCGAGAAATGCTGGTCTGATGCAAGGCAAAGACGCAGGCAGAAACGTGAAATACAACGTAAAAGGAAATGTCAAATCAGGGACTGAGAAAAGAGACTGACACGCCCCTCAGGGAATATAAGGGGGCGTGTTAGCTCTGAATCCCCGTTCGGGTCAACTTGTTTATTTGAGTTAGCAGTTTGGACAAATTATTTGTGCGGCATTCACCTCTGATTTATGGTTCTGCTAGTTATCAGACTTGGCAGGCAGCTTCTGGAAGACTGCCAAGGAGGGCTTCAGCCAAAGGAAGTTAACTCTGTTGTTCCTGGTCCTGTCTGTTTGTGTATTTTCCTTTGGAAATTTGGACTCTCACCTCGTGGCCACAGGTGAGACAGAACATGTTATTATATGTGAGAGTACACCTAGCAAGAAAGATGTCTAGAATGATTTCAGTTGGGTAATCAGCTGGCATAGAATGTAGTAGCACATGTAGTTATACCTCATTACACCCATGTAACATTTCTATGAACTGCACCGGCTCCTATACGTTTCAGATGCAATTCATTTATAAAGTTATGTGTGGCAAAAAAAACCCAAACAAACTAGGTGACGTGAGGGATTGTCTTCTCCCAAAGATACCTGCACATCCCACATACTTCAATAGACATGGCACACTTCAGGTCCTTTCCTGGAAAGTGTCACTTTGTATGATACAGGAAGATTGCACCCTCCCCCTTGGTATGTTCTTCACTGATCACTGATACCTAGTCGGCTTTCATTCCAAGGGCCTTCATAAAGGCAGTAAAGATCTGGTTCTTTCCCTGGGCACTTGGGTCAAGATGATTATATGAGATATAAAATATTTTAGTCCTGATCGTCTTTTAATTGTTTTACTTTGCTTTATTGGTATGTGCCATTTCTCCTTTGTACTTTGGTTTAATGAATTGGTACTGTGCCAATACTCAAGACTGTTTGAGCTGGATGATCATATAAATATTCTAAACCAACAGACTTAGCTGGATGAGGTCTGACAATGAGTGGACTAAGCATCATTTTTTTTTAAATCCATTTGAGTGTATGCATTTGGGAAACTTGACTGGGTATGATAGATCTATAAATGTAAGTGGATACATTTTAGAAAATTAAAGTGATCTGAACACATTTGTCACATATGAAACATCATTTTTATGAGAAAAGGATTTCTTATCTGTGACTTGTTCATCTGGTAATATATGTAGTCACTTATGGATTCTGTATTAATATAGAACAATTTTTGAAAACTTTTATAACCAATGTTTTAATGGGTATCCTGCCATCCATCTTAACATTTCATGCTTGAAACCATGTATCTCACTCTTTCCTGTGTTTACATTTTAAACCAAGAGAGACTTAAAACAAAACAACAGCACTTACAATAGGAAAAAAGGTAATCTATGTAACTTTGCAGATGACTGAGCAAAAAATTAAAGTAACCTATATTCTTCATGATCTCTCTCAGTACCACACAAAAGAATATCAAAGTAACTGTTAGGATACGGAGCAATTATTAAGAAATAGAGAGGTGAACTAATAATATAAAAATAATTAAATACTGTACTTCCAAGATATCCAACTAATAATGTTTAACAAAAACAGTGGATGGAAACCATGTAGCAACATAGCAGTGTTATATGATCAGAAATTACCCAACAAAAACTAGATAGATTATTATTGGAGCAGTCAGAAATTTAATGAGTCTTCATAAAGATCTGAAATCAGTTATATAAACTGCCAATATATTCATAAAAGAGAACAGTATTCTGCCTTATAGGCACAATGAGATAATTTCTAAGTTAGTCTTAAACCTTACTTGTTTTACTTACCACTGGATTGGGTCTAGGTGTATATACTCGTAATGGCTTAACTCCATTGCCCATTGAATTAACTTCAATTGCTGTAGGTTTATCATCAGTTGGTATGATGTCTGGAACAGGCGACATTGTTGCCTCAACATCTGATGGAGTTGGGATATAAATTGGTTCTGGATCCATCTCTCCATCTTTTTTTACCCACAATGGAAAATTTTTAACAGGTTTTTCTGGTTCTGTATCACAAATAGCTAAGAAAAAAAGGAAGTTATTTTTCAAAGAAAAATCTCTATAACCACAAAGTACTGCCTAGATGTAAGACTTTTCTCTCAACAAAATAATTACTTATTTATGGTGGTAGTCTGTTTTACTTAAGCAATCAACAAGTGAACAGGCTGAATGAATAAGTACAAGGACTGAATGAAAAGTAATGCCCACCTCCACAACTATAAGCAGGGAAAATTTAATAAAGGAAACAGGGAAATAATCCTTGAAATTAGCTATTTTGTTACCTGAATTTATTCCTCCACATAATCAATTCACCACATAATTCTGCCATCTAAACCCATCCTGAGAAAGCTTCATGCTTTGCCTTTTCAGCCAAATCCTCAGTCTTTTCCATCTCATTTGAATCAGATACATACAAAAGTATTTTTTTTTCCAATTTTGATAAAAAGTATAAGTTGCATGGCAACAATTCTGAACGGCTTTTCTCCAAAGCTGAAATGGGACAACTTGGTGCAGCCAACTTGCCACGGCCAACTCATCATGGTTAACTCATTGCAGGACAACTCGCTGTGGGACAATTCAACAGTTCAATTTAAGAAGTTGAATTAATTAAAAAATATTTTAATTTTGGTCATTTAATTTCATTTTGTCCCTCCTTTTGCATCTTTTTTCTAATGATTCTGTTCTAGCATTTCTTCAATATTAGTGTAATTCTTGTTCTTCTGCAAGTTGACCATGGCGAATTGGCTGTGCTGAATTGTCCTAGACCCCTCCAATGCACCTGAAGGCAGGACAAGAAGCAATAGATGGAAACTAATCAAGGAGAGATCCAACCCAGAACTAGGGAGAAATTTCCCGACAGAACAATTAGTGGAACGACCTGCTTCCAGAAATTGTGGGTGCTCCAACACTGGAGGTTTTTAAGAAGCGGTTGGACACCCATTTGTCTGAAATGATATAGGATTTCCTGTCTGAGCAGGGAGTTGGACTAGAAGATCTCCAAGGTCCCTTCCAACTCCTTTATTCTGTTGGCAATTCAGCACACTGAAGGCATTGCTTTTCATTCAACCCTTTTATAAATCTTGCGTGAGTAGAAGCATTAAAATATACCAGTGTTTGTAAAACTTTTTTTTCTCAGAGCTCCTTCCCACTTTTACAAATTTATGATCTCAAAACAACTTTTGTTTATATGGGTTTTATTTAGTGATATTTACCATATTAAAAGTTAAAGTTGACATTTTTACTGCAGCTACCATTTCTCACAACTCGGTGACAGTACTTTAATATTGTATTTTGATAGTATTCAATATAGATTTCTGGACCTCCAATGGAATCTTGGAGGACTCTGAGAAGTCCTTGGACCACACTTTAAGAAACATAGCAATATACTTATTCTTCAGCTTCAGAAGGTATTGCTGTACTAAAGTACATATATAGAGTAACTATCTTCTTTCACAGTAAACATAAGGAAAACTTGGTATAGAGGACTAGTTGATTCCAAGCACCATATGCTACAGAGAAATTGCCCAAGCAATTTGTATTTGGGTGAAAAAGAAGGATAAAATGAGAAAAAACAGATGCACATGTTTCTTCAGATTTAGTTTAGTATCATATTTGGCCTTTGAATGGCATGCTAGGAGCTGCACTCTAAAATAGCAGCAAAGTCAGAAGAACTGACAGAAAAAGAGACAAACTTTCTATCCTACCATATTTTTGTTCAATTATGTAGTTCTCATAGTAGCATGCAAAGTATCATGTAATTGCCACAATAAAGTTTTTATACTTAAATCTTTAATAAGAATCTTCTTACTGAATCTGAAGGAAGCTAATGTTGGGACTCACAAGACAAAAGGTAAATCTCAGCAAATAAGAGAGATTAGAATTGCCCCCTCTCTTAATATTCTTCCGGAAGGCACTGAAGACCTGGTTCTGTCAACAGGCCTGGGGAACCCAGAGTGAGATGGAGCCCATCAAAATGGCTCATGTCATCTGATGTCGTCAGGACAGGGGTGGGTGGGAGTTGGGGAGGGGGTGATTTATTTATTTATTAATTCGTTCACTCATTTATTCCAGATTTTGTTCTATTGTACTTTATTAATTTATTTGATTCTTTTTGTTAGTTTTTATTGTTTTTTATTTTAATATGGTTTTACATTCTGTAAGCCCCCTTGAGTCGCCATGGGCCAATAGGTGGCAATATAAATTCAATAATAAATAAATGAAGCACTTGATAACAGGAATAAATATTAATTTGTCCCTTTTAAGAATCCATTTAGTGTAAGGATTTACAAGAAATAGGTGCTCATAGCAAAATACAGATCTAAGAGAAATCCCCTGCCTCCACAATAAGTTGCCACTCATTCTGCTGTTCAGATCCACCTGAAGGAAAGCTAAGAGTTGGGCAAGTCCTGCTTCTACTGGAGACAACTTTCCACTGCATCAACAAAGAAAAGCCCTCTGGGTCAACTTATAAATGTGAATCAAGCTTGGTCACTTAGCCATCAGGATGGTCTCTATTAACACCTTGGAGACTGCTGCTTTCATGAATTCCAGGTGCTAATATGAAGCCATTCTGGCCTGGGTCTCAATGAGGAAAAGAGTTTGGTCACTCTAGAAGATGCTAGATACTCAATGCTCATCTCCAACAGAGTTCAGAACCAACATTTCCCGACTCAAAAGCAAGCAACAATTATTTGTGCTTTCTTTGCTACCTTGCATCATTCTTGATAAAATTGAGAATAGAGGGAATGCCTACAGTAGCTTATGCAGCCAAGGAGCCACAAAGTATCAGTCCCTACTTCCTTAACATCATGAAAATGAAAGAATCTGGTCATATCCCTGTTCTGTTATCCCTTGTGGCAGAGGTAAACCAAAAGGGTTGTTCACAAATCTTTAATTACCTACAAGACTTCTAAGTGCAATGTCTACTCTGCTGGGGCAGAAATGTCTTCTAAACAGCACTTAGGAGAGAAGATGTCTTTCTGCCCAGAAAGACAGGAGATATTATATCTTCATTCACTTTCATCTCTTTCCCCTCTCTATGATTCTTCAGATACATTTTTATGAAGACATTGTCACTCCAAAATCAGAATGTGATCCCTTTCTATCAGTGCCATGGTAGATTCTAACACCTTGTCACACTGCCCTAATTTCCAAGTTGACTTCTGCTAGATCGGGTGCTCTGAGACAAATGGTTGATTTGGATTCCAGCTGACAGGCTGGCATTCCTGTTGGTTAGGTCTTGCAGGATTCTCTGAAGATGACCTTCCTGGAAAGGATGATTAACTCAAAACCACCATTGTGGAAGATCATCACTACATTGGGACTTTCAAAACTAAAGTATCTGCATTTAGCAATCTGCTCCTAAAATGCAAATAGATATCACCGTGACAATCTTGTAAGAAATTATGACTTAAGGCTCCTTTGAGTAGTTATGATTTAAGGCTCCTCTATTTTAAATGCACATCCAGTGACATTTCTATCTTGTGCCAACACCTATCTGTGATGTGAAAGACTTCTGTCAGATTGACTAAACTGTTCAGCACTTGTAGGGTTAATATATATTAAGAATTACTGTTTTATAGCAAACAGTAACAAGCAAAACAACAAATAAAAAAATAGCTTTGAATTGGCCTAGTCCTAACCCAGCATTCACTGAGCTTTTTGTAAGTATCCATAATCATTCAACTTCTGCAGAATGTAATTTTTTTTCATCTAGAAATAATATTGTCTATTAAAAACTATGAAAACAAAACATGTAAGGATAAAGGATAATTTAACCCAATGTTGCTCCACATTGTTGTTTCTACTTTGATTATACTTTCTTCTTGGAAACCTGTCAAGTTTTCAATGCAGCTACTATGAAAAAAAAACCAATCACATGTAACTTTTCCACTACACTTACTGCCAAATCATCTCCTGAACTGAAATTCCAGAACTACAAAAGGGACTTATAAACATGGTTATAACTGAAAAGCTTTTGTATTTAAAAATTATGCTCTACGTCAATTGCAAATATGTATGCGTGCTGAAATATGATCTTTTTTTAAAAAAAATAAAGCATGTAGCTACTGAACAGCTTAGCAAGCTAAAGAGCTTGTCAATACTTACTATATTCAATCTTCTTTTTCTTCTTCTTATCTTTTAGTTTCATTTTTTCTTGATCATCTTTTGCTATTATGTTTGTTTGTTGTTCCTGATTTCCTTCACAATATAATTTATGCTTCCCATGCAGAGGCTTCTCCTGGATCTTTTTGTGCTTAACCAAGACAACTTTTCTTTTTAGGCAAGTACATCCAAACATGCAATCTGGTTTGCGACAGTGTGTTGGCTGACGTTTTTCAACAGCCAAACTAGAACAGATACACCCAAGCCGACAAAAATCATTGTTGCATGGTGGTGCTTTCTTTTTAATTATTTTGTGAATAGGTTTGTTTTTGAGTGAAGCCTGAAAAGTGTTAATATATACCTTTGTTAAATATTCAGATAAATATTTGCAAAGCCACAAATGAAAAGTAAATGTCATAGTATAGCTTACAGAATTACTGTCAAATAATTCTATATAGCGGGCTAGCAGTGATGTTTAATCTATTGCAGAAAAATAGTAATATAATACACTAAATAACTACTACTATATTAAAATCAGCTTATTTACATTACAAAATTATAGGAATAATATAACCAAAGTGAATGTGTATGCTACCTCAAAAGCTGCACATTTTCCTTGATTTTTTTCTAGATAAAAAAAACAACCTATACAGGTAGTCCACGACTTACAAACGTTCATTTAACAATTTTCAAGTTTACGGCACTGAAAAAACTGACTTACAACCGGTCCTCATATTTATAACTGACACAGCATCCCCACGGTCACATGATCAAATTTGGGATGCTTGGCAACTGGCATGCATTTTTGATGATTGCAGCATCCTGGAGTTACATGATCGCCATTTGCAATCTTTCCATCTGGCTTCTCACAAGTGAAGTCAACTGATGAAGCCGGATGTGCTTAATGACATGATTTACTTAACAATTGCCTTGCTTAGCGATGGAAGTTCTCAAATGTAATCGTAAACCGAGGACTATCTGTACATTTTAATAAAATCTAAATAACCCCAGAGCTGCTCACTATGTTAACCTTCAATAATTACCAACACAATGCAAGACTAGACTCTAACAAGACAAATGGAACAGAAAATCAAGGTAATTAAACAATTGTAGATTTTAATAACTGAAATATGATGGCCTTTATCTAATGGATTTAGATACCTGTCAGCTTTCTGCGAACTCTTTTTCTATGAAGCTATTTGTCCTGTTCTAGGGAGAGGGGAAATCTCAGTAGGAATATTTTCTTTAATGCTAAATGTAAAATCTTCTACTCAGAAAGCTGAATGATGAAAATTGACATGTTTTCTGTTTCTTAAAAGGACACCGAATCATGTTCTGTTTTCTAGTGAAAGGTAATTATTGTAGAAATCACTTACAAAATTGTTCAGATTAGGCAAAATTTATATTTTCATCCTTTAAATTTACCTGAGCAGTCAGCAAAATTGTCAAAGATAGTTCAGCTCGTTCCTCTGTAATATATGTCCGTGGTTTGCCATCCCACAATGCGCAATCTTCGAGATCCAGCAGTTTCAACTGAGTCTTGGATAAAGTTGACAAGCGACTGCCCTGTTGCTGCTGCACCTGACGCATAGTAATTTGTTTGCTCTGCAAATTTCCCTCTGTGCCCGACACCATCGAAGCATCTTTCTCAGTAACTGTCTGAGAAAGGCAGTCAATTGCCTGAGATTTAGAAACTTTCTCTTCTGAGATTAGTTTATGTTTGTGTTTTTTTGCAACAGATAAACCTATTGTGCCTTTGGGGGGAGATTTTTCTTTGCCTTTTGAGATTGCTTGTTTTTTATTCTTCATTTTCTCTTTTATCTTTTTAGAAATAGAAGGTAAGTCCAGAGGTTTGGAAGTATAAGAACTTAAATTAGAAGCAGTGGATTGTTTTTTTAGAACACTATCTAATGTTCGCACATAGCTGGTGCTTTTAGTTGGAAGCTGATAAACTACAGGAGAACTAGATGTGCTAGGAGAAAATCCAATGCTTGTTTCCATCAACTTTCCTTCATTTTCTAGGTACTCATCAAGTTTGTCACTGCAGAAGGCAGATCGATTCTTCAACAAGCCTTCTAAAATGATGCCTGAATAATAATAAAAATACTTTTTAGATTAAGAGTATTTCAAATCTCAAGTTGCAACATCTTGTACAAATTCCATTAACTGTATTTCAGAATACTTAGCTAAGCTTAGAAATGTTAAAAACTACAGGTGTTTTGCTATAAATGTAAAGAGAAATAAATATTGGAAAAGATTTCAATTATGATTGCAGTTATGAAGCCTTCCAAAATACACTCACATTCTTTTCAAAATACATTCTTCTTTCTTTTTCATATAAATTCAATTTGGAAACCGTAAATACTCTCAAAGATTGAAAGGAGGTAATGATAAAAGGCTATCAATGTCTGATAATTGCAGTTTTAGCAACTTGCTGCTTCCCAATAAACTAGGGAGAAGACGCCAGAGGGTATTCAATGTAAATTATATTGATTTCTAAATCACTATTTAAATCATTCCTTGGTCAAATTAAATTTTAACTTTTTAAATCACTAGTTGCACTGTTAAGGGAATACATTCTTATTTAATATTCCAGATTAACCTATCCATTACATACAAAGGCACAGAGCCTACAGAAATGTTTTTTTTATTCAGAAATATTAAGCTCAAGGATGTCAAAGTTCTATTATCCTAATACAGTACTGAGAACTTTTGATAATGGCCAAAATATTTCTCAATGTTGTTCAAAACTGCTTTTTTGTTTGATTACTACTCAATAACACAGTAATCTGTTCTGCCACACATCTTATGTGAGAGTTAATTTGTGGGAATATATTGCAATTTCAATATCAGTGTTGAGCACCAAAGTCTTTTGCTGGAAAATGCATCAAATTAGAATTGCAACTATACTACTTTGGGGCTTAGATTTTCTTCTAATTACTGGATAAAAATCTAAAAGATCTTTGTATTAGTTAAAACTGACTCTTTTCCTTTTCTGACAGATTAATGTATACCTAGCTATTCCACACAGTATCAATATATAAATATCAACTACCTATTCCAGGCCTGAATGTAATCTACTCAAATGTCCCATAGCAAAGAATTATCTTTGTTCCCTATTCTGCTATTTACAGATACGATGTAGTAGCTAATGTATACATAGAGATTTAAGTTTAAAATATGACAATCAATCTGTTTCTTCAAGTAGAAAAAAAATCTGATATATTTAAAAAATTCATGTAATTTTTTGATGAAATACCTGATGAAAATTCACACATATTGGATAAGACTAGTATAGATTTACATAGTTTGACAACCATTATTAGAAATGCTTGGAAGTTTAGTTTTCTAATGATGATGTTTTAATTATGATTTAGTGCTTCATTCTTTCGACAAAGAACAAACCTATAAATAACATTTATAACACTCTGTATATTTCACCTAAGATTCTTTTCTAAGGGCCACCACCAAATGCCCAGAATCATTTGGTCAGTGAAGTGGGTGGCATATAAATTTAATAAAGGAAGCTAGGTTCATTTATTGTTTCCCAGCAATATGGCAGTCACTTCTTGCAAGTGTCAGATATGCTTTAACAGGCAATGTAAACTTTACTTGAGCAAGTTTAATAACTTAGATTGACTTTTGCTTTGTGGGTTTTATTTGTTATTCAATAGTATTCAGTTGGAACAAACATATTTTATAAATAATAGTAATAATTTATGTTAAGATTGTGTAGCATTTAAGATTTTTCCATCAAAGCAATCCTGAGTCACCAATTTTTTAAAAAAAGAACTTCTGAAATTCTTCTCAATTTAAGCATAGGCAGTGGAAAAGACTCATTCCATTTTTCTTGCCTTTCAATAATATATTAATCAATTGGGGTTTTAAAAAGCAGAGAAATACATGGAATACTGGGCTATCAATTGTCTTCAAAAGTTACTATGCAGTTTCCAAATCACTAGCAACAAGCTGCAGCACAAACATTATCTTAGCAGAGTGAATCATCACATTATGACACAATTATTTGAGCAAAGTACATTCTGTTAACTGAGATTTAAAATGTACAATGTTATTAAACTTAATTAGAGTTGCTGTTTAATCATTCAATTTCTAATACTGAATTTAGTTTGAATCTTCAGCTAAAATATCTGTTGATGGGCAAAGAAGCTTTTATATGATCTATAATACATTAGCTTTCCTTTCTACCTTTGCCCCGTGATGTATCTGGGAAGCTTCAAACAACAGTAAGCCAGCTAAAAATGGGAGCCAGATATTAGTAATGCAATGCATTTTTAGTCTGTAATTTTAGTTAAATTGTGGAAAAAAATCTTGAATATTTTTTATCTAACAAAATTCTAAAAATAAACTTTTTCAAAAATATAAAATATATGTGCATACTTTATTATCTGTCCTCTGTGACTACAGCCACAAGACATTTTGAAACTATAAATTCTATGCATTCTTTCTCTCATTTTCTCATTTCATTTTCTTATAGTAAAATTCTGCATCAAAATTTTTCCTTTTACCTTCATTTTTTGAAGTGTTGTGAAATTTTCCTCGCCAACCCTTTATTTTTGTGATATCATTTGTCTTTCCAGTCCTTGAAATAAAATGAAGTCCAGTATCTGGCAGTATAAACGAGTTGAGAAAAATGGGAACAAAAGAACTGTGAGATCATTTTGCTTGACAAACAAGTTAAAAAACTTGGTACAATACACACAAATACAATACATAGCTGCTATCATGTACTTAGCATGTGTGGTCCTTCTAGACTTGCAACTCCTTTGTGCAATTTCAAGTTTTGTACCAATTGTACCCTTTCCTGGACCAGAAGGCTTTATTCAGTTATTCTTGCCGTAGTTGCCTCTAGAATGGATGACTGTCCATGATGAGTTGGCAAGATGGTTGTGTAATACAACGATGGACTCTCCTACTATCTTGAGTTTTTTTCAATCTTTTTTGTTTTCTTGTTTTTACTTAGTGTTAAATAGATACATGAAGACAGTTACATATGTAAATTCTGAAAAAAATACTCTGGATTTTTTATTTTGGGGGGAGATTGTTTTGAGCTTAGTACAAATGTGAACCCAGCTAATAAAATAAGCCACGATTTATGACCTAATAAGGGGGAACCTGGCTACTGTGATTTGTCCAATATTTACAGCTGAAACAAACCATGCACTGTACAATGTGTAAGCAGTCATCTTACTGAACAATATATTTATAGATAGTAAAACAAAACATGGTGTTTTGTTACAAATCTCTTTCAAAGATACAGAAATACTTTACAACTCATTTTAAGCAATCCTGCATTAAGACACTGACTTACCAGCAGAATTGGAATCAGTTCCTTCATTTTTCCATGAAGCATATTCCTCTGAATAACTTAATGGCAACTGCACACCCAAATACTTCAGATCAATACTCATTGTTGGGTCCACAAAATTCAATTTTAAACCCACTGAAGGAATGAAGGAATTTTTATACCATTATTAAAACAATTTCGTATGTGTATCAAGATCACTGTTATGTTTTCTCTTGCCAGGACTTTATTTTACAAAATATAAAGCTGAAAACAATACTTTTCAATTGGTTCTCTTTCCAATATAAATTATTCCACCTTAATTAAACTATACATGGATACAAAGATTACCAAATTAGATGTTACAAAGTTTTCTTTTAACTATTTGCAAAATTCCTTCAGATATAACTTAAGAAGAAAGCTAGATGGCATTAAGTATAGCTTCATTAAACAGTATCAATAACCAAATTTAAATGTTGATACAATTCATCACCAGAGTTCAATTTAATGAGAAAAGTATGGTACTGAAAAGGGAAAAGAAAAAAGAAATCTTCTATAAACACCTGATCTCATGACCAAAGTTGAAGCCACAATCTACATTAAGACAACATCAATCTCTATTTGTCTTTTTACCTCCCCCTTCCCAATGTCAGCACTTCTTGGGTCCAATGTTACTTTGCAGAAGTAGAAAACCATTTTCACAAGACAATCTCACAATTTCCCAATCTGATTACAGCCCCTGCTGCTCCGTCATACTATCCCTATTCTTCAACTCTTAGGATTCTTTTTGCCAAAAGAAAAGAGAAGAGCGTTTTATTCTACATGCATAGTTTGATTCTTCTGTTTTGGGAATCCAATAGAAAACTTTCCAGCTTCCAACTTTCTTCTCATTTGCCTATTCAGATATCAAGATTTCCCTCCTTTTTGTGATTAAATGATAAATGAGCACGCAGTTTCCAGCATCATGTGAATTGGGGGCAGCGCGGCAGGAACTTGGTCATAAGTCCCTTCATTTATCAGAGCCATAACTTTGAATGCACACTGAACAAAATAGCAACAGCAACAGCACTATACCACTTCACAGTGCTTTACAGCCCTCTCTAAGTGGTTTACAGAGTCAGCATGTTGCCCCCAACAATCTGGGTCCTCATTTTACCAACCTTGGAAGGATGGAAGGCTGAGTCAACCTTGAGCCAGTCAGGATCGAACTCCTAGCAGTGGGCAGAGTTAGTCTGGAATATTGCATTCTAACCACTGCACCACCATGGCTCAAATGTTTGTAACTCAAGGTCTACCTGTAAAACAAGTGTATAGTGGGAATATAGTGTACAATTCCTGAATGTTATTGTATTAAGTCAACTGGTTTTAAACACACATTCAATTGATATGCTTTGTAGAGGAAGATTCAATTTCAAACCTAACCAAATTATTTCCATCTGATACAAATTATTCATTATTCTGACAACAATGATAACAATCTACATACGTCTCTGCATTTTCATCAATCTAGTTGTCACACCCAATACATGACATAAAATACATAATTTATACAATAAAAGCAATAACAATAATTAGGAGTATTTCAGAGTTTCTATACCTACCTTCTTGAAGACTTGGATGTATTACTTGTTTGTACTTAAAAGATTTTAAATCTTCTAACAATTCTTTTTCCATCTGTTGTATTCTTTGACTATCTGTGAAACATACATTTATTTGTTTATACATTCTCAAAACTATTTTAGCTACAAAAATGAAGATTGTATGGAAAAAATAACCTATCAATCAAGGCCCCGTGAAATAATATTAATTTATCCATTACATTGTGCTTTTCAGCCTGGCAAGTTTAGCAGGAATTCATAGATCCTTGCAATGTCACCTGGGACCAAAGTTATAAAATGTCTACACTACAAATTATATTAGATGGAAGAACTGATAATGATATAAGGAGGTATAATTTATTTATTTCAGGGCTTTCAACTGTAATGCTAAGGAAAATCCTCCACTGTCGGAAGATTCATTCCCAGATTGAGCTGAATGGGGAACCCCCCACACTATGAACAACAAACTCTCACTTAATGAAGATACTAATCCTTCCCTTTGTTAATAATCATAACCTATCACTGACAATACTTGCAACTTGATATATATTAGGTAATAAGTTTAACTATTATTGTTACCTGAATCAGTGCACGGATTACATGTAGCCAGTGAATTGTTCAGTGTATTTTGCAGTTCTTTTTCTTCAACTCTATCAAAACTGTGGATATCAAGTGCTTCCTATGTGCAATAAAAACATACTTTGACAAATTGTGCAAGTTTTATACTGGAGGCATTACAAAATTACAGGAAGCTACACTTTGAAATTAATTTAAAATGACTGGTAGGTATACAATTTAAAACTACTATATCTGAAAATGGAAAGAATTATAATGCAGAACCCCAAAGAAGTACAAATTTTGGATATAAATTTACCTTGGATACAAAGGATACAAAAAGCATTCCATCCACGTCCTCAAGATCAGGGTTAACATCCAAATGGGTACTACCACTTCCCAAAGAGACATCATTATTGGTTGTATCAGATTTTGCAATGCATTTAGATGATCTTCCACCTTCAGATAACTTTGATTTCCGTGGTCTTCCTCGCTTCTTTGGGCCTGACACCCCAACATTTTGACTGCCAACAATACTCTTGCCAGAAATATGAGTCTTCAACATATTTATGTTTTGGTCATCAAAGATAACTTTAGCTAAAGATGGGCTGCTGGTGGCAGGGGCCTTGAGATCACGACTGGACTCTATTTCAGTTGTATTGAGGCTGCTGTATGTTTCAGTACTTATCCCTAGTACATCTTCTTCTGAAGGTATATGTGGTGTTATGTTTTCAGATACCATTTTATCAGTTGTAATCTTCTCAGTTTCCTCAACTTCAGGAGGGCTAGAGATACTTCTATTTTCAAAATGAGCAGGGAAAGAATCTAATGAATTTGGAGACTTTTCATTCTTAGTTGTCATTAATGCCTGTGAAAGAGCAGAGACTTTCACTGTATCCCTGGTCATTGTACAGGACTCTAGGTAAACTACAGGCATCTTCCCACTATCTAATTTTAGCATTTTTGCTTTGGCAACACCCAACTGGTTTATTTGTTGTTCCTTGTGGAATTCAATATCCATTTTATCTATTTTACTGTATTTCTCCAGCTGCTGCTCCAATATGGAGCTGTCACTTTTGGAATATTCTTCTGCAATGTTATTGGTTTCTTCTTCCTTCACATTTACCCCTTCCATGCAAATTAGAGGTTCATATTCATAGTTATCTAATGGTTCTTCTTTTACAGACACGTTGATTCCTCTCTCTTGAGTAAGCTGGGATGTCACATGTGACAATTTTTGACAAGGATTGGATATTGGACTGAAATAAGAAAACAAAGAAAATACTCAATTGCAGAATAAGCAGAATCTCATCTTCTCTTTTCGGACAGACATGAAATGTACACTTGGCTTATTCGAACAGTCACCCCTTTAGGCATCACCCTCTTATTAACACATTGCAACAAGTCATTAGCATTAAGGTGAACTCAACAGCAACTTTATGGATGGGAAATTCACTGTTTGGAATAAAGTTAAAATTAAAAAAACTAAAGTGAAGAGAAAATACACTTTCCACCAAAAGAAGACTAAGTCAAATGAATAAATAGACTATTCATTCCTCTTCCTTCTTCCAGCAAAACCTCACGATGGATATGGAGTCAGAGGAAGAGAAAAATGTTGGATGGAGATAAGGAAGGGATAGCCGGAAAGAAAAAAAGGATTAATGCATTACAAAAGGGTTAAAGTTCTGTAAGCAAATAATAGCAGGCAAGAGCTAATTTTCAAGTGCATCTATCTTTTAATGAAGCAATGCTACTACAATCAACAATCTCTTCTCTATCAGTAAATATAATTATTTGGAGAGGGGGAAAAATGTGATTTTCTACTTCCTGTTGGGAATATGTTATATCACAATAGCAACAGCAGATAGCTTATTATAACGCCAACCTAGCAGTTCGAAAGCACTTAAAAATGCAAGTAGAAAAATAGGGACCACTTTGGTGGGAAGGTAACAGCATTCCATGCGCCTACGGCGTTTAGTCATGTTGGCCGCATGGTGAGATTTGAACTGCAAAATTGCAGGCAACTGGCAGTCAGCAGCAGTAGCGTGCAGTACTGCACTTTAACCACTGCTCTACCATGGTTCAAAATATACTGAAAAAAGCTGATAGTGGAAAACAAATCATAACCAACGATTTGTTGGAATTATGAATAAGGATTGTTATTCCCATAAAGCCAGTTAAACATAAGACTTAATCTTGAAATCTAAAGATAATTCACCTACATTTTGTTGCATATTTCTTTTTGACAGTCCTTAATGTGTTGTTTTTTTATACAGACGAGCTTTGCTAGTCTGCCCATGTATATAGGTAATCTATTAATGCTTCAGAAAAAAAAGACTAGTACTGCAGGATCCTACACCTTCGTATGTAAGTGCATTTATTTTAATTAAAATAAATTTTAAATGTATTCTATATTAACACAATTAACAGTAGAAATAAAACATATGGCTACATATTTCTGAATCTAATTTTTATATTTGTTAAAGATATAACTTGATGTATGAATCTGACTAAAGCTGCATATAATTCATTTAGCTCTGGCCTACTGTAATAAATTAATTCTGACATACTTTTTTATTTTAATTGGATTTTTAAATTTTTAAATTGTTTTTTTTAATTGCATTTTCTTAGAATGTATAAAAAAAAAGGGTATGAAAAGTACCACACAACAATTTTAATTATATTGGAGCATATTAATAGCACTATATTAAGATAATCAATAATATAATACTATCAAATTATATTGTGTAGGCCCTATATATGAACAGATAAGCCCCCACAGCTCTAAAACCATATATATTAATGAATCTATAATTTGGAACCATTTTTTTCATTCTGGAACTTGTAAATAGAGTTTAAAGTAATATATCAAGCACTGATCCAGTCCGAATACCATTACAGCTAGAACTGTAATAAAATAAAAGCTTTCAACACTGCCCAAAATAAAAATATTGCAAGTTTTATATAGCTATTTGGCTGAAATTATTTATTTAATATTTATTTTAAAAAAACCTTTGCACATATTGTTAGAATTCACAAATGTATACATTCTGTATTTTACTAACTTTCACTAATATCACTCCACTCACCTTGTTCTTACACTATGGCACAGGTGTCAAACTTTATCGCGTCATGGGCCGGATCATGATGTCTTGTGATATTTTTTGCTTTTGTAGAGCCGGGATGGGCATGGCCTGCCTATGATGTATCTGGCCCACAGGACACCACCTTGACAGGCCTACACTATGGAAATTAGGATACATACAGCATTTTCTCAAGCGGAGCTAGTGGGCAATTTGGGGTCCTCCTGGATTCACAGTCTCTTGCAGGTTCATCTTGTGTGCCAGTTGTACCTATTTCTGGATCAAGAAATTCTACTCACAGTGACTCATGCCTGGATCACTTCCTAGTTGGATTACTATAAGGCTTTCTACATGGAGCTGCCCTTGAAGAGTATTCAGAAGCTTCTATTTATTCAGAATGCAGTAATGTGGCCAGTTTGGGACGCTGATGTAACATCTATACTCCCGCCTTCTACTGCACTTCCAGGAGCTAGTTTATTATCTAAGAGCTTTATATGGCACAGAACCAGGTTATTTGAGAGACCACCTGTCTTTCATTGTCTCTGCTCATTTCACCAATATCGCTGGGACTGGTAAGCCCCAAGTTCCCCCTAACAGGAAGTGTCATTGAGTGGAATCAAGGACACCCACCCTATTGCAACAAGACCAGAAATTCAGATGGCTCTGATCTTCTGTAAGGAATGAAGACCTAGATCAGGGCTGTCAACTCCTGGCCTGTGGGCCGGATGCATTACGCACTGGCCACACCCATGCCTGGGTTAGCCAAGGGGATAAAAGTCCCAATATGTCACATGATGATGCCGTGACGACGAGTTTGATACCTGATCTAGATGAACCATCAGGCAATTGGGCGAGAAGATTAAATGAGCCCTGCTGATTGATCTGTTTAATTCTTGTCTCTTGTTGTTTAGGAGTGGAATGGTTTTTTAGATCCCAAGCATATTATTATTGTTTTGGGCTATTTACTTTTGTACATTGTGTCAATTGCTGTTTTAACCCCCTATTCATCGTCTAGAGTCACTCCTGTGTAATGGAGACCAATATAAGTTGTTTTAAGTATTTTTATACGAATGCTGATTATCTTTTATATAAAAAGCACAACCCTACCTTTCTGATGCTTCTTCCTTTAATCCTTGATCATCGCCTGCATGTACATCTGACTCCGCAAAATGTAAGAACTCATGATATGGACTAAGGGACTCTTTCTCCAAATCTGGGTCACATATCCCACTAGGTGGTAGGTCTAGTTTCTGTGATGGATCCAAAATATTCCCTTCAAGGGGATGCCTGTGATTAGTAGGAGAACTTGTAACACTATTACCTTCGTGCTCTGAGCTACCATTTTGCTTCATGTCACGCTGAAGTCTACTACTCAAGCCATCTTCTCTGAATCCTTTAGCAAATGGATTATAGTCTATTTTTAGTTGTGTAATTTGGATGTTTTGATATGCAGTCACAGCAAAGAATTCTGTCTGTGGAAAAGTGAAAGTACGGACATCAGGACCATTCAACTGGATGACCTCTGTAGCTTTTTCAGCAGGCACCAGGTGTAGTCGAGGTAAATACCGATGCATAGAATGCAGAATGATATGTCCTTCCTGGTCCAATGTATTATTAGTAAGCTTCAATTTGTAGAAAGATACTGGTTGATGCATCCAGTAATGACCAGTAGAAGGTGATTCAGGATGAATAAACACTCTTCCCAGCACATGAGGTTCTGCCTTTCCACTGGGTTCCCAACTATGGCCATTCCACTTATACCGGAAGTTGTCAATAGGAGAAATATCCATGACTAGGATGTACTTGAGGTTGGATTCTAGGCCTGATATCCAGTATCGACAATATGGAAACATTCGTCTCCCTTGTTTTGTCAAAATCATTTCAGTGCTGCGATGATAGAATTCATTCCACATATTATTGTTGTCCAGCATAACAGTGATATTCCCTGAAGCACAATCAGCTGGAAGGTATGTCTTTGCTTTAGGTTTCACTGGCTTTGCTGCACTGCTGAGAAGACTGCTGTTATCTTGATTTGAAAGCAAGGTTCCTTGATCAGGTTTACCAGTGCTCTGCTTCACAAGAACATAAAGAGCAGGAGTTGTGCCTGACATTGTCCCAGTATTTTGGTTTCCTAATATAACTGGTTGTTTCTCCATTATGGGAATAGTTGAAATATCCCCAATATTTTCCATATTTCTCAATTTTGGCAATTTAACTTCATCGATTTTTAATCATCTGCAGGGGAGAAAAATCAATGAAATAACATTCATACAAAATAGTTTAAAGTATGTGTGTGGGATGTGTGTGTTCATCCCTACTGCAAATGCATGCCAACTGCAACCACAAAGATAAAGAAAACATTAAGAAGATAAACTCCCACTAATAATTTTAATAAACCAAACTGTATCTTTGCAAAAATGCAGCATGATCATCTTAAATTGCAAAGGAAATAATTTTCTCAAACGATCCATATGTTGACTTTTGTGAACAAATGTTTCTAAAAGGATTGTCCTGCCAATCTTAGTAAGTCAAAATACTTTAATATGAAGTCCCTTCAATAGTTATGGCTTAACATCAAAATTAAGATCATCACTTTTGATTAGAGACCAGAAAACCAGCACACAATGCAAGATAATATTCACTAGTTAGTAGTTCAAGGTCAAATCTTTCACTGATTGCAATATATACAGTAGGTACTCTTCAAGGGATTATATAGAACGAGCAGTAAAAGTCAGCACAGTAAATAAAACTGTGCAATTAGTCTTACAGATACTGTAACCTGAAAATACCAATACAAGAGAGTATTTGTAGCTCAAGGTTGAAATGAGGGGAATGAAATGCACTGAGTTGTAAATGCCCAAGCACCCAAATTTTAATGACAGCAGGGACAATATAATTCTATAACTTAGGGAACCAGACATAAGTACCATTGGTCAGACTGTAACTATGAATAGTAGCTGAATATGGTCATTAAGCATTAACTACCTGTGAGACAGAACCACTGGAACCACCTAGCATTGATTCTCATCTCATACATGGATTCCAAAATACTGGAAAAGACATAAGACTTCCTATATACAACAGGTCTAAATTTAAAGGTAGTACCACATATATATATGCCCAATAACTGACCTGAAATTTTGCAAATGCAAGCTAAGCCAGTTTTATATTTTCTATTGTTTAGACGTTTCTACTGATGAACATGCTTTACAGTCATCTTGTTTTCCCAGAAGCTATTGTACATGGGAACATCAGTCAATTTATGTAGCTGTCAAAAGAAACAAAAGTACGTCAACATCTAATTATCTTTTTAATAGAAAGAAATCAAGATCAATTAATTTTTATAAACTAAATCATTGTGGTTTATTTTTAAAAAAATATGAATAAATATCCTGGTTTTGCATTAAGTTCTGACAATTCCAATTAGCACATTCTTCTTCTTTGTACTTTAACTAATTTAAAACATAAATTAAGATATTTTTCTGAGCTAGGTTTTAAAATTCTAGTATTTTTATTATATACATTTTGTCTTTTATCTTTTTTAGTTTCTTTAATGATTCTCCGATCAAATAATTTGAATGAAAAGCAGGACTAAAAAAAGAGTAAATAAATAAATAAATCTGCTCTGGATGCATCAGAACAGAATTGGGTGAAAGGAAGCACACAAAGGGAAGCATGTTTATTTCAGGTTGTAAACAGCATAGACAAGCATGTTAAACATTTAACAGTGTACTTTTATTATAATTGCTTTCATTTCCTGATCCCCTTTTCTGCGACTACAAATAAGCATTTTCATTACAGTGCTACATCTTGAAAAATTATTTCCAAATATGAATTCCAAGAATAATTAAAATAAATGTAACTTTTGCAATAGATTCATCTACATGGACTTTCAGTTAAATGGTGACTATACTGTACAGGTAGTCGTCGACTTACAACTGTTCATTTAGTGATTGTTTGAAGTTACAGTGGGATTGAAAAAAGTGACTTATGACCATTTTTCATAGTTATGACCATTGCAGCATCCCTGTGGTCATGTCATCAAAATGTGGATGCTTGGCAACTGGTTCATGTTTTTGACGGTTGCAGTGTCCTGGAGTCGTGTGACCATCTTCTGACAAGCAGTCAATGGGGAAGCCAGATTCACATAATAACCATGTTACTAACTTAAAAATTTCAGTGATTCATTTAACAATTGTGGCAAGAAAAGTCGTAAAATAGGGCAAAACTCTCTTCACAAATGTTTCACTTAACAACAGAGATGTTGTGCTCAGTTGTGGTTGTAAGTTGAGGACTATCTGTAATCGGTAAATGTTGAGGAAATTTTAGTGAAGTAGATCATATTTTAGTGTGTTTTGACAATGTCTGCATGCAATTCATCCTAACAGTTAAGTATCAAATTCTGATCTTAACTAAGCTGATAAAAAAGTTCTTCTACACCTCATTCATCAGCTATAATTTGCTATAATTTCTGATTTAGAGAAACCAGGAAGTAAAAAGGGGAATAGTACAGGAGACCATGTCATGGTCCTATTAACATTTATTTGTTTACGGTATGTCTGCAAAATAAAACCACCTTCTGTCCTCTCAAATTTCAGGACATTGCTGTTTTCAAATGTTTCACATTCCAATGTTTTGATTCAAATACTAAGCAGTACTTCAACATTACAAGAAAAAACACAGCCTCTTACTGGGCTCTCACCCTCTTGCAGTCCTTTTTTCCCTTCTAGGACAGCCACAAATTAAGTTAATTCCAATCCTACAGATTAATTATGTGTACTAGCCAGCTTCATAAACGTTCATTTAGAACAGAGGTCCCCAAACTTGGCAACTTTAAGACTTGTGGACTTCAACTCCCAAAATTCTCCAGCTGACTGGAGAATTAGCAGTCCTCTACTTATAATGACTCATTTAGTGACCGTTTAATTTACAACACTGAAAAAAGTGACTTATGACCATTTTTCACATTTACAACCGTTGCAACTTCCCCACATTCACATGAACACAATTTAGAAGTTTGGCAACTTTTTGGCATATTTATGATGGTTGCAATGTCCAGAGGCCATGTGATCACACAGCAAACTTCTAACAAAGTCAACTGGAAAGCCAGATTCTCCTAACAACCATGTTACTAACAGTTGCAGTGATTCATTTAGCAACTGGCAAGAAAGGTAATAAAATGGGGTAAAATTCACTTAACAAACATCTCGCTTAGCAACAGAAATGTTAGACTCAATTGTGGTTGTAAACTGACCTGTAAAGACAATTGCTGGTAAAACTCCTTAAGATATTCACATTTTTAAATCAATTTGTTGACAAAGCCACAGTAATCAGCTCTGAAAAAACTAAGAGTCTGAAAAGCAAAACAACCGTATCTTATTAATATTATGAATGAATGCAAAATTGTAGACAAAGCAAATGTGGTATACCTAGTAATTTAGGGAAAATATTTTTTAACAACAAACTCTAGAAAGAGTGGAAAAAAGAGCCACAAAGATGATTAGAGGACTAGAGCAGGGGTTGCCAACTTTTTGGACCTCAAGAACCACCAAACTAATAATTTTAAATCCCGCGGACCACTAATATGAACTTTATCTGCAAGAAAATCCCCCACCCCGTTTTCCTACTGATTGATCATTCTTTATTTGGGATCGCAAGATACTATCTCCAGGGAGGGAGGGAGGGAGAGAGAGAGACTGACTGACTCTTTTGGCTTCATGCAAGGAAAGCAGCAAAAGTCTTTCTTTCTTTCCCCCAAACTCCGCCAGAAATGAGTCTTTGTGAGACTTGTCACACCAGCGCAGCCTCTTGGAGCAGGATGCCTTGCAGGGTCCCAAAGACTCATTTCTGGCGGAGTTTGGGGGAGAGAAAGAAAGACTTTTACTGCTTTCCTTGCATGCAGCCAAAAGCAGAAGAAAGAAGTGGAAAGCAGCAGCCCAGTGGCCAGGCCAGGCGTGTGGTGTGGTGCAAGCTCCCCCCCTTGATCCTTTCCCCCCTCCCCTCACTACTTTGTGTTGTTCGCAATACAAGCGACGCAAGATTAATTGCTGGATTAATTGCTTTGGGGGTGACATTTCTTTGCGGACCACCAAAATTTTCTCACAGACCACCAGTGGTCCCGGCCCACTGGTTGGCAACTATTGGACTAGAGGTTAAAACATACAATGAACATTTGCAGGAACTGGGTATTTCTAGTCTAATGAAGAGAAGGGCTAGGGGTAACTTGATAGCAGTCTTCTAATAATATGAGGGGCTCCACAGAGAGGAGGGAGTCAACGTATTCACCATAGCACCTAAGGGCAGAACAAGAAGTAACAGATGGAAATTTATCAAAGAGTGATCCAATCTAAAACTAAGGAAACATTTCCTGGCTATGAAAACAATTAACCAGTGGTATGGCTTGCCTCCAGAAGCTGTGGGTTCTCTATCGCTGGAGGTTTTAAATAAAATATTAGACAGCCATTTGTCCAGAATGGTATAGAGTCTCCTTCCTGAGCAGAAGATTAGATTAGAAGATCTTCAAGGTCTCCTCCAGTTGTTATTGTTTACATTTTACATCTTTCAAAATGGTACAATGAAACTACAGAAGTTCAATTTGATGTTAATGAATCCATAAAAATAATTTTAAAAAAATCTTAATAACTAGCCATACCACAATTTGTTATATGACTCCAGCTATTGTTTGTAAACCACAATTTATGGTTTAATAAATTTTCTGAACTTTGTGATAAAAGTAAAGAAAATAAAGCTGAATCCAGATAAATATTTATATAGAAAGTAACCTCCCCAAAGAAGACTACATTAAATGGAATGGTGCCAGGCATGGGATACAGGAAAGGAAAGCACTTTGAAAGTAGTTCATTCTATTCAGCCAGCTTCCCCAATACACTGGCAATGAACTAGAAGAGAAAAGGGGTAACAATCACCTTCCATCTGTTCCTTTCTTAGTTGCTAAACCAGATAAAACCCAATGTATTTTATTTCTTGAACTGCATCTTCTAAAGAAAAAGCACATTTGAAATATTTATGCAAAACCAAAATAGCACATATGCAAGCAGATACAGCAATCGCCAGCCATATTAAAATGTTACATTTTTAAAAAGGCCAATATTTTCCAAAAATATAATTTATGTAACTTTATATTACCTAAGTTAAATAAACCAAATTACAAGAAGAATCAGATACGGACACACACTATGATGGGCTCATTTTAAAAAAAACTGAACATGCCACACAGCACTATCGGATTCTATTCAAAACTGGACTTTTCCACTAGTAAAACGAAGTGACATATCATCTGTTCTAATTCAACGTAATGCTGCTCCACTAAAATATAAAATAAGCCATTTGGACTGATGAGCATAATTTGAAGTCCATGTAGAATATTTTATACCTTAATTTTGGAAAAAAGAAATGACTGTCCCTATTACAGCTTTGAAGATACCAAATTGATAACTCAAAGCCTGACACTCACTTCATAAAATCATTTTTCCATAAAATATTTGTATATATATACTGAATAGGGAAAACAGGAAATTATGCATTAAAATCTACAGACACAAAACTGAATGACTTTGTATCACTAATTGAGTCATTGATTGAATCTGCCATTTGCACTGAATCATGTTTATAATTTAATTTGCCACAAATATACCAGAATCTCTGCATGTCACTTAGGCCTTATTTTGCTTCAGTCTTTGAACATAAACACTTCAAAGCACATCTATTAAGGTTGACTTTGGGCAGTGAACCTTATGGTTTGTGGAATGTTGTTACATTTTATCAAAACTACCAAGGAGCCAATAGTGTTAATTATTTCTATCGTACACCATTCATAGGAACCACTAATATTACAAGATCATAGTAGTAGTAACAGGACTCAATAAAATATTTTTAATGTTTGAAATATAGATTTTACTTTTTCTACACACTTAAGTACGTTTAGCAGCCATCCAGGAGTTTTGCAGTCCAGATTCAGCACCCTATTAGACTTTTGGTTCACGTTTGCAGGGTTTTTCAACTAGTCATCCTAGAAAAGTCACCTGTCTCTCCAGGAACTGTTTCCTCCCCGCTTTATGGTTACCCTCGCACACGTTTACTTATGGATAACTTGATCACAAGGCTTAGGGCACAAGGTTTCTTGTGGGCACGATACACCGAATGATTAAAAACGGAGCAAACCAGTTGAGTGTGAAATTGTGCTTTTTAGACTGGAAGCCCCCACCCCCGTTTATTGTGGCTCAGAGGCTCCTGCAACCCTACCTTTAAAGCAGTGCAGAGCTGTGGCCCGAGGGGGGGTGGGACAGGCGCTTCCCACGCACAGTTCAACTGCCCCCCAAACGCGGCCGAGTCAACAAAGGGGGCGCTTGGCGGGGAAAAGCAACGGCGGGAAAACCAGCGTTGGAGGGGGGGGGACGGGACCCGAAGGCCCGAAAAGGGCAGAAAAGCGCGCGTTCCGAGACCCAGCGGCCGCCCAAGCGAACGACAGGCACGTTAACCTCCCCGAAGGCCACCGGGTGCCATCGTCCCGCGCAAGCGAGGGGTTGGCAGCGGGAGCGCAGACGCAGCTCCGGGCTCCTCACGCGACGGCGCCTCGAAAAGCGTCGCTCCCGCGTGTGGCGCGAGGAGCCTCCTTGACACGCGAGGCGCCGCCCGTTCGCGCCCCTCCCCCCCTCCCTCCTCGAGGGCTTCGACACGACGCTCACGGCCGACGCCGGGGAAACGGGTGTTAATTTTCTCAGCTGGCAGCCCTGAGAGAGCAGGAGGTATGCGAGACACGCGGAAAGTTGCGCGCGATTCGCTCCTCGGTGGAAGGAAAGCAGAGGAAAGTTCTCTCCCGCCCTTCCCTTCCTCTGGCCCTCCCCCACACGCCCACACACATATAGGCCCGGCGTCCGCCGACCCCCCCGCCGTCCGCTTTTACCGTGCGATCGCGAGTGGGACGATGTAACCCCCTCCCCCTTCCTGCTATATTCACAGCCAAATCGTGTTACCCGATGGAGAGAAACGTGCGCACGCACCCATGTGACGTCGTCGGCGCGCCTAGAGGGGCGCAGGCGCGGTACTAGCCCGCGCGAGACACCTCCTCTTCGCCTGCAGCTTGTCACGTGCTCTTGGCTGCTGTCTTCCTTTTGCCCCCCTTATCTCTTCCCTCCTCTCTTTCTCTTCCCCTCCACTTCCCCGCCTTGTTTTCCCTCGTTTGTCTCGCGCGTGCCGGTTTCGCTTAGTTGCGGACAGTTCGCAAGGCTCGACCGTGGCGGGGGAATGGTGGTTTCTGTGGCCGCCACCAAATGCAGGGACTCGCCTTGCGAAGGAAGGGAGAGGATATGGGAGGAGTCCGTTTGACATTTCTCGTGCTTAAAGCGCCACATTGCCGTTTTGCTTCCTTGCTTCGCGTTTTACTCGAAGCGCTCGGGCGCGCCGAAATTTCTCCGCCCAATGCATTTCCAGCCCCGGGTCCAGGGTTTGTGGGCTACGCTCCGGGAGCAGTTCAACATTCCCGGAGCGTTATGAGAAAGCGTGGAAGAGGGTGTATTCCTCTTCCCAAAGGTGGAGGCGGGGAAGGAAGGCGGGAAAGAAGCCTCACACGAGTCTCCGTCCCTAGCGCCTCCTGATCCTTTTGTTGCGAAGAGCCTTGAGCAAATAAATAAATAAATAAAAATAAAAGCCAATCGTCATTTCCCTTCGCGCGTCTGTACGCGCCCTCTCCTTTTCAACCCACCGAAGTAAGGCTATGTCCTTTGGCGTTCATCGTCTGGCCCAAGGACTGCCCTTCGAGGCCTCCTCTGGGCTCCCTTCTAACCTAACACTTGTTTTCACTTCTTTAAAGAAGTACAATGTAATCCGTACTATATCCCAAGGTTGCTTTTTCAAGACGTTTGGCTTCTCATCCAAGAAGCTGATAGAGCTGAAGAAGCTTCTTGGATGAGGAGCAAATTGAATTCAAAGGAAAAACAGAAAGTCCAGTTGCCTCTTGAAAAAAGTGCCTTTAGGACAACCATGACCTGGATGACTGAGAATCTCCATAGACATTTAGCAGTTTCTAGGTTCTATCATATCATGAGACCTAAAATGGACACCTAACCTCAAAAATGTCATCAAAAAAAGCACAACAAAGAATGTTCTTTCTGTGCTAACTCAGAAAGCTCAAACTGCCCAAGGAGCTGCTGATAAAGTTCTACAGAGGAATTCTTGAGTCTGTCATCTGCATCTCTATAACTGTCTGGTTTGGTTCTGCAACCCAACAGGACAGACACAGACTTCAGAGGATAATTAGAACTGCAGAAAAAACAATTACTACCAATCTACCTTCCATTGGGGACCTATATACTGCACAAGTCAAAAAGAGGGCTGTGAAAATATAGACCCCTCACATCCTGAACATAAACTGTTTCAACTCCTACCCTGAAAACAACACTATAGAGCACTGCACACCAGAACTAGACACAAGAACTGTTTTTTCCTGAACACCATCATTCTGCTCAACAAATAATTCCCTCAACACTGTCAAAATTATTTACTAAGTCTGTATTACTATTATTATTAATCCTCCCATCCTTCCTTTCGTGCCTCTCCTCCCACTTATGACTGTATGACTAATCTTGTTGCTTGTATCCTAATTATTTTCATTGACTGTTTCCTTGGATGATTTGATTACTTGTTGCACCCTATGACTATTATTAAGTGTTGTATCTTATGATTCTTAACTCTTGATGAATGTATCTTTTCTTTTATGTATATTGACAGCATATGCACCAAGGCAAATTCCTTGTGTGTCCAATTACACTTGGGCAATGAAGAATTCTATTATCTATTATCAATAATCAGTACTATGTTTTCCTTGTTGATCTATAACTCACTTTTTCAGTGATGGAAATTACAAAATGGGGTAAATGATTCAAAGTTATCTTTTAACTCCTTTAATTGTAAAATGAAAGATTAAAGCAATGATCAAACTTGTAGGTGGTTTACAGCCATGGTTTAACAGTAGTTTATGGAATAAGCCACTGTTCAAGTTCACATTGATAAGCTATTACCCAGGGTTTGTTGACTAAGTCAAGACATCGGGTTCAGTTAGCTAATGTGGTCAAATATCCTTCCTTGTTGGGATCTTGGTCATATAATAATTCTTTTATAGTTCTTTGTCATGATATGATGGCTTTCTACTCTTTTGGCCAGATTAGTAATATATTTTATATAAAATCACTGACAACTAATAAGAAATTTCCAGTGAAGAATCAATGCCGGACCTTCACTGTCATCTTTATGCCTACCATTATACTGAATATTATCTTGTGATAGGCTTGGCATATAAACTGGGTCCATCAGAATTTGGTTAACATGAGTTTATTCTCTCATCCATTTTTGACACAAAATAGTACGGCAGAGCTTTTCTGTAACATTGAGGCTGCTGCAACTACTTTGTTTATGTGTACACATATAGTCAAACAAAGGAGGTAGAACAGAAGTTGTCTGGTGGCTTCAGCTACAATATAGCCCTTTTCTAAAATCAAACTGATAGTTCAATGAGCTTTTAACCAGGATATTGTGAGTTCTAGTCCCACTTAAAGCTGGCTGGGTGACTTTGGGCCTGTAACTCTCTTTCAACCCTACTTTCCTTACAGGGTAATTGTGGGGGAAATGGGAGTGGGAAAGAGAATTAGGTATGTTGGCTGCCTTGAGTTATTTATAAAAATAATAAAAGTGTGATAATTTTTTTAAAAAGCAATTTTAAATCTAAACAGGAGTGGGCAGATACAAAATTGGCTTTTCTTTAGCTGGAGCTGTCTATAGTTTCTTCAGTTTTCTAGTTCAGGGTAAGTATGAGAAGAGTATCTGCTATAATAAGGTATGTTGTAGGAACTTATCTTTTGACATTCCATTTATAAGAATGTAGATTCTTACATTTTTTCTCTTCAACTTGAGAGTTCAGATGCTCTTCTATGCAAAAATGTGATTGCCTTATTTGTTACAGCATGTTATATGAATCCAGCCATAGAGTCAGCATAAATAACTTGAGGGGTCCTTGGTGCTCTCTGAGCTTGCTTGTTTTCTTGCAGATGTTTCATTATCCAAAGTAAATAACATCATAGCACTGATGTTATTTGGATAATGAAAGGTCTGCAAGAAAACAAGCTCAGAGAGCAACAAAAGCCTTCATTTTAACCCTAGCTACAAATATTCTCTTTTATTAGTATCATAAATAATTTATTGGACTTTGTCAAGGGACAAAACATTTTGTTCTCCTTGGCTTTTATTTCCTTTTTTAAAATTCAATAATTTACAGCTTAAATTGTGTTGATAATTGGAACAATCTTCAAATCTGCAATTGTGTGGTAATTGGAATAATCTTTGGAATTGCCCTTTTTGGCAATGGAATGGGCACTGATCATTTCCCTTCCTGTGACACAAAGGTTGTTTTTTTTCTGTGGCTTCTTTAGTTTATTTTTTTTATCTAATTTGCCACCCATCTCACCGTCAGACCACTCTGGATGGCTTACAATATTAAGATAAAACTTGGGGTATGGGTGTAAAATCACAATAAAGTCATAAATTCTTATACATCGTGTGTTCAGCTATTGTTTCAATGATGATCATTTGAATTTTTGTCACCATACGTCAAGGAATGTCTATTTATCATCTCAGTTGCATACTTGGAAGGAATTTTGGTGATGTCAAGCTTTGGTGGGGGTGTCTTTTTGAAGTAGCATAATTTGATCTTATCCACCAACAATTCATGATCTGAAATGCAATCAGCATCCAGATCATTCTTGCCAGTGAGGACTGAAGTGGACCATTGATGGCTGCATAGGCCATAATCTGATTATGGTGTACTTTATTTGGTGAGGTCCAAGTGTATAATCAGCACTTTGCTGTTTGAACCAGATATTCATGATTCAAAATCAATTTTCATGGAAAAATTGAGTCAAATAATCGCCTGCACTGTTCTTCCCAAATCCAAAGCTGCCAGTGATGCCTCTTTCTACTTGGCTGCCAGCTTTTGCATTGAAATCACACAGTATGTAAACCATCTATTGTTTTGAGATGTTCTCCAGAGGTTTTTTTTATGCTGGCATAGAAATCCCCTATTTCAAGCTCTGCGATATCAGTAATTGGGGCATAGACTTGGATAACTGCAATTTTCAGGAGCTTGGTTCAGATTCAGATGGCCATAATGTGATTATTAACTGTCAATAAACTTTCCACTGCTTGGGCAAATTTATTGTTTTCAATAAATGCTACGCCATTTGTTTTCCTGGCGTTATGTAATAAATAGTGAATTCCTCAGATGGCAAATATCCATTTTCTATCCAGTGTATCTCTGTGGTGCCAAGGAGGTTGGTTTTCAACCTGACCATCTCCTATTGGATGGTATCCAATTTACCCTGCTCATTTGTCAGACATTCCACATTGCTATCCAATCTCTCTTTGTGTAGCACCGACTCTTGCTTTCACCAATGGCTGCATTAGCAATCTGAGACTCCTTCTAGATTTGCCCCAGGTGTGCCATTAATGTTTGATTACTCACTGAAGATCCTTGTACTTCCCCAGTAGCTTCTTGGGTACCTTTGGGCCTGGGAAGTCCTATTGTTGGGCACCATACCTGATTTATTTGAGAGCCTTCCCATAAAATTTTCTTGGCAAGGTTTTTTACAAGGTAGTTCATCAGATTTTACCTCAACCTTCCCCATTTATCTGAGCTTAGGACCAGTATACACGTTTATTAATGTGTTTAGAAAAATGGAAATAGTAAGTCTTCACACATTTGTGGCATTCTGTTACAAATTTCTTTTGTTCCCAACAGTTTTCCTATACTCTTTCTTTGTTTCCTCTTTTTTTTATTAAACTGCTACACTATACTTCCTTTTCCTGGATAATTATCAAATGCATGAATGCTCTCTATATCACAAGAGAATAATTCAATGTTTGGCAGAGTTCAGAAGAATTATACCTAGGGTAGTAATATGTAGCATGGGAGCTTAAGCTAGTAAACATGCTAGTCTATGAAGAGTTGAAGAACAGACAT